AGCAGCTCGACAATTCGAGCCTGAGGTCGTCGAATAGCGAACGAGCGTGCCCTAGTATGCCCAAATCCTCCAGAACGTTCCCTCGATCGGGGCAATGAGCTACCAGGTGACGACTGGGTTGATGGCGGCGGCCCAATTGGCAAACCTTTGTATTCAGCGACCGGGACAGGCGTCTGATCACCAGCAAGTGACCTACTCTTGCGGGCCTCCAATGCGTCGAGCACCTTGACAATCGAATGCCGATGCTCAGTCAGGCTTTCCTGTGCCATTTGAACATCCATCTCGGCCCGATGTTCTTGCAAACACAAATCGGTGTGTTTCTCAAACCACCATCGAGGGATCTGGCGTTCACAAATGCGGCAGAGGACCGGTGGCGGAGGCTCTTGTTGTTCGGGGTCATCAAGTCCGCTCTCAGCAAGTTGAGTCAGATAGCTCGCCAGAACTTCAGCACCTGAGCCTAACGAGTCCACGATTACGTTGGGAAGGTCGATCTTGATTTCTCGTGGAGCTATCCAGGGGCGAATCATCCACATTGTCTAGACGAGATCAGTATTGCACAAAAAGCCAACATCGACGAATCTTACATGGCTCTCTCCACCCGAGACACTGTCGTATACCATAATGCCTTGGGCTTCAAGGTCCACAGCATGTGACTGCTCGTTCTCGGGGTCATTTTTGAGGTCGTCGACAGGCAAAAGCTTCGAGAGGGGTCCAAGATTGACAGCAAATCGGACTCGGTGGCTCCGAGAATCATCTTTCTTCATGGATTCGACAACTTCAGTGAACACATTCTTGTTGTCGCTAACTATCAGGTCGGAGATATGCAGGCCATTGACTGTCTCGAACTGGGTGCCTACAACATCAGTCCACGAGGGACTGACCCATTTAATTGTTCCATCGAGATTGAGGTCCACGATGGTATTGAGAGTCTGTTCAGCAGCTTCTCGAAGCTCCTCGCGCTCTTCCCGGATGTCCTGGCTCAAAGACCTCTCCATAGCAGTTGTTTGTTGTGCCCTTAGAGAGGCAACTGCCGGGGGTGCCAGGGTGGCGCCGGACGGGGAGTCCATCTTATCTCAAAAGCGACTGACGTGCAAACCAGAAATAGATAGTGCAATCGATGTTTCGCAGGTATCGTCGACCGTGGGATTTTGGGCCAGGGCCCGACGTCAGGATAGCTGGCAGCTCCAGCAGAAGCACAAGTGGGGAGACTCGGGGTCTGGCAAGGGCGCCAGAACTACAGACCCGCGAGACTCGGAGACATGACTGAGGGTCGACAGCGAGGGTTCTCGGGCTGACGCTGTACAAGTTCTAAGCATGAACCAGAAAATAAGGTCGAGATCGAATTATCCTAACGCCTGGAAGTCAAAGGGTGACTTTGTCTAAGCGTGCGAGCGCCTTCAGGTGTAGCCGAGAACGGGGCCAACCGTGATGGTACCGTACCGTGATCGTGACCGTGGGTACCTGCTCGAACAAGACGAGGTGAGGTAGAAGGCAGTCGACTTGAATTGATAGCACAATCGATAGATCTGGTTTTGAAGTTGCCTGGTCTATTCAGTCCTCGGGAGCTTGCTTAATACTGCAGAACGGGGGTTAAGAATCGCCGTTAAGCCTCGAAGGGGAAGAAAGACAAAGTTTGGCCTAGGTGAGCCATGGCTCCTTGGGCCATCGTGAAAGCGCGTTCCTCTCATGATACAATAAGCGGGGGAATGCACTGCTGGACCAATCACCACCCACCATCTCCCGGGAATCAAGCTCCTAGCCCTGCAAAGCTACAACATCTTGCGGGTATGGGTTTTTTTCACAGCGCTTTACTGAGGGTCCTGATGCAAGCTATGGCCTCCACCCATGATAGTTCCACTGGGCAGTGGGTGCCCGGCACCCGCTTTCCAATCAATGGCTTTGCGATCCATTGCTTCTTGAGCCCTGTTGATATCAACTGAATGCCCCCAATTTCATATGGATCTTTTATTCGCTATGCTCGCCAAACCGGAAATATGTAATACCAGGTAGTTACTCAAGTGATTTCCAATGACATTGACACCTATTGAAGTAATTCTGTCCATCAGAAGGATGACGGGGTACTGTGGGGTGGGTGTTTGGTTTGTTTGGCGTTCTACTATCACCAGCCTTTGTTAGGTCGGGCATTGTTTCATGCGATCCTAGGCCCGTCCCTGGAGGTCCCCCCCTCCATTTTCTTCCAGCAACGAAAGTTTTTGTCACATTGATAAAAGGGTGCAGTCGACGGGGTGGACAGACTAGAGACTGAAAGGGGGGAAACATTGAGATTCCTTCCTCCAGGTATCACACGAAAGGCAAGACATTGGGCTGTTCGTGTCGATCGAGATTCCATCCCCAAACTATCCTTCCATAAATCCATTTGAGAGCCGAAGAGGGACTTCGTGTGCCATCAGAGGGTAAAATATGGAAAAGTCTCTTTCATCAGGTGCCTCTTTTGGACTGCAGCACGAACATCGCAGAGAGTAAAACTGATGATCTCCGCCTCCTGTGGCAGCATCACAAATCTTGTCCACCAATCGACAGCCCAATGGCGTTCAGTTTGCTGCTGTCTTACCCGGAGGCGCAGACGCGGCCGTCGGTGCAAATGCAGATGCAGGCGTTGACGGAGGTAGATCTAAAGTAAGCATCCTGTGCCCCAGGTGACGGGTTGCAAAGGGTTATCATTAAACAGGCCACTGGCCAACAACGGGCGTCGCGGAAACGGACCGGACATTTTGAAGCAGAAGCAAGTCCAGAGGCAGCATTTCGTCAAGCCGCAATTGCTATGTCCCCCTCATGAGCCCTTCCCACATCTCTTTACGATCGTTCCTGCGCTGTGTTAAATTATTAGCTAAACCACTATTTGCCATATGGATAGCTTCGCTTTTAGGGTTGCAGTATCGAGCCTGTGATTTCATAGTAGCGGCATGGCAACCCATAATCCAAGGTTGATAATGTTTTCTCCTCATACCACGTGCGACTGATTGTTGTCTTGATTAATTCTATAGTAGCTTTCCCTGCCTGCGCTCGAGGAATTGCATGCTCGCTTCCTCGATTAGTGTTACAATGAGTTAGGAGGGTTGCAAGTGTAGGTTAGCTGCGCAGATACAGTGGCTTTGTCACAATTACATCGACAAGGGCTATGAATATGGGCATAGTGATGGAGAGTGCATGATCAATATGTTGATGCACCCAGTGACTACTCATGCTGCTATTGTGGGACGTTCGCATGTTTTCTATATGTTTCGTGGGCTCTGTTATTATTGCTCACCGCTGCCTCTTCTTTTCACACGGGCTGACCTCATCTCTTCTGCGTCACCGAATGATCAACTCCACGTTCAACTGGGGCAATCAAGACTTACTTGGACGAGTGTCTCTGTCTCACTATAGAAATGAGCTGATGCTGGTGCTATTTCCCCTCCCACCCCAAGATTTTAGCTGCAATACCGGTCACCATCATCTTATGTCATGTTACCCATTTGGCGACCCTGAGTGTTTACACAAGCCTCCAGCTTCACCCCCTGACCAAAATAGATGCGTAACCATGACCAATAACACCACTTATTTAATGCTTGAGCATCCAACATTCAACGGCTGCAAAGTCACATTTCATGCACCCACTTCAACTGCCGGTATTTTTGCCAGTGATTCGTCTTTCAAGTGTCTTTTGAGAGCATCGAGCTAGAATTCGGGGAATCGAGGAATATGAAGCCACATGCAACTGTTACCTTCAAGGCACATTGTGTAACTGTTTGTTTGAAGTCGGTGAATTGGTACTTTCTTGCATCCAGTCATATGTATAGGTAGTGACTTTATCGTGTGTGTCCAGTATGTAATGTCTATCTCACAAGGATGACGAGGAACGGATGAATTCTCTGCAAAGAACTACAGGATTTCGAAGCTGGTGAAATAGTGTGAAGCCAGAGTGCCCAGCATTCGTTTTCCTTGCCTTCTGGTTGTTGAAAGTCGAGACCTCGTTGTCTTATTCCTCGGAAAGACCTTCCTTTCCCAAAGACTCATAGCTCTCTCAAATCCGATGAAAACTTTGAGAAACCAAGCGCTTGTACGCTGCATGGCGACTACCTACCATCTCTCGGCACATTCACTGGTCTGACCACTGCTTCAACTGAGGTCGGTGAAGTTTGTAAACATCTATTATCATTTATTCGCGTAATTATTGAGACTCTGTATTGGATTCAGGCTAGTGTTAATACTTCCTAAACTGCATATGAAATATGGTGTCGTGTTTACTACTCCGTACGTTGCTTTGATCTATCAGATATTGACAGGGTTTACACAGAATCAACTGCCCATGAGCAAGTAACTCTCGAGTGATCTTAGATTATATCCTATAACCACTCATTGACGTTATTGTAGTGAATAGTGATGGAAGATGGAGCGCCTGTCTTGTTAGTGGATTTGTAAGACGATACAACCCAAATCACTTCAAGATGAGCGCCTCAGACCCATGGTCAAGGTTGATTGGGGCTGTCGACCCTGCCTTGTTATTGCCAGTATCATCCCCTACATTCCCCCATCAGAATAGTAACGTCTGGACTTGTTTCTGGCAAGTGATCAAGAATGCTACCGATCAATGCTGGGTTGTTTACCTAACGACATCCCTATCGTCATTTCAAACGCTGCGAGAAACTGTATCTACCTACTTATTGCCCTTATTTGTTTCTGGAAGATAGTGATGTGTCTAACAGTACGGAGTAGATGGATTATTATGGCTTTTCAAAGGGTCAATGATAGTACACCACTGGATAATTGCGAATCAAAGTTAAACTGACAGCGGATGCGAAAGCCCGTCCGTTCGCGGCCATGGGGTACCGAGTGCGGGGCAACGCCAATTCACAAGAATGGGACGGAAATCTATGCCTCCACTGTCAATCAGACTCCCGGCCTCTCAAGCCGGACGCTTCTATGCCGCTTCAGAAGCCTAAACTAGTCCCAAAGCTCCTAGTGACGCTCTCTCTCTCTTTCTAATATCTTGTTGATGATATGAAGTATTAATTAACATTCCTCGCCGTTAGCTCCTTATTAACCGAAGGTAAGGGACCTAACCATCCCAATGTCGAAAGAACCTGCCTTTAAAGTGTAGTCGTCAATGCTGACACCCGAACATCGCAGCCTGAGGTACTTCAGCTTACCTCCCTTACAAAGATGTTTTTGACTGGTTGGAACCTTCCAACTTAGTCGGTTAAGGTGCATCACCGTAAAAGGTACATTGAGTTTGTACCTAGGTTGAAATCATGGGATGCTGCACAACTGCCTGGACCCAATGCAGTGATGCAGTGGGTGATTCAGTGGCGCCGACTCACACGGGACTCTGACTAATACGTTAACGACTTCTCCGGTTCTAGAATTGCGCACGATCATCAATCTGACCAAGCAATAAACCTCTTTGCTCAAGTATCTCAAATCATTGCAGCAAGCTATGTGGCACTAATGTGGTGTGTATTAATCGCCTCTCACTGACCAAATTCCTGTGAATTACAAAAAAGCATCCAACCTGATAGTCGGGTACCGGCATTATACGCAACTGGGGCGTCTCTGATCCCCAACGGTTCATGATACAGGAGCACAGCCACGACAGTCCTTTCTACAAACAACAGTTTTATTCTGGCGATTCTGTGTCCAACCTCATCTACTTCATAGTTCTTGGGGTCCAGGTGATTAACGCCCGACACTACTCATAGGCGGCCAGTATGGCTGCCTTCAATGCCAATCTTGCTGGCGCAACAGAGCGTTCCTTCTCTTCGTCACTCTCGCCGGATCGAGTTGTCGTCAGCTCAGAGGATGACAATACTGCGGCCTCCGCTCTCGATCCCGATTTTTACAAGAGTCTTACCGATAAGAGGACGACGCGCGGTAAGTATTTCAGACATGACTCCGTTGCCGTGTTGCTGCTCACGGGACTGATTGATGCTTTAGACGGAAATCCGCCCAAGAAGCGAGGGCCCAAGCCCAACAGCAAGCCTGCATTGACCAGGCGTCAAGAGTTGAATCGTCAGGCACAGAGGTAATGTTGCGCAAGCTTGACGAATGCCTGTATCTGATATGTGTCCTTTGTCAGAACACATCGCGAAAGAAAGGAGCTCTACATCAAGGCACTGGAAGATGAAGTTCTTCGCCTTAAAGAAGTCTTCAGCAACGTTTCATTGGATAGGGAGAGATTGGCCGATGAGAACAAACGGCTGCGAGACACTTTGGCACAGGCTGGGCTTCAACATAGCAGCCCGCATGTAGCAGGCAGCGCGACGAGTCGTGGTCCCGACTCGGCCAATACAAGTTCTCCGCCCTTGACCTCGCGATCGACAGCGCCATCGGTTGGCTCACCAATGAACCTACATGTGGCCGTCAACCAAGGTTCCACGGCCGGCCAACCGCACGGCATACCTCAGCCGCTTTATCGTGGAAACCCTGAGCTGGAACAGGCGGGCATTGACTTCGTTCTAACGTACGATAACTCCTACTCGAACAATCCCCAGTGATCCCCCTATGTGATATGTCGCGAGTTACATTGCGTCATGGGTGAGCTTTGGCAGGACATACTGATGGTTAAATCAGCTAACAGACAACGGATACATATAGTCTCGAGAGGCCGTGCATGACGCATATTCAGTTCATGGTTGAGAGAGCATCTGAGCCTGAAGGCGAACCCTGTGGGCATGCACTTATGGCATCGTGCCCACCAGATCCGGCTCCAGAAACAAGGCCGGGTTTGCCCTTCGGGAAAACTCATATTCCATTGGATGGCGATACGAACCAGAAGACATGGGAAGTTCCAAAGGCAGACCTTGCCACTTTATTGGATCTAAGTAAGAGTATCGACCTCGATGGTGAGGTAACTCCTATCATGTCATGGGGTATGCTCATGTCACACCCAAGGGCAAATGAGTTGGAGGCGGTTGACTTCCGAAAGCTGAGTGAAGAGCTCGTTCGAAAAGTTAGATGCTATGGGTAAGTTTTCTGCGATGTTACGCCAGCATATACTGACTTGGTCAAGCTTTGGTGCTGTGATGGAGGAGTTTGAGGTGCGAGATGCTATCGACAATGTGTTCAGCGGCAAGGACACGATGATGGGTGAATAGGAGTTTGTTTTGTGTTTTTCGAGTTTGCAGCTGTTGTTTGGATGTTCCTACTTGCTGTGATGTTTTGACATCGTATCAATGAGCATATATCCAATACATCTCCCTAACTATTCTGGTTGTTATAAGTTACAAAATCCGTTGGAATCACATCCGTTCCGATCTCTCCTGTGACCCTCTTATTTGCAAACAACAAGAGGAGCATAATACTGTCCAGGGAGGGCAACATCACAAGTCAACTTTGACCTATTTTCGTTCAAAACGATCTGCCTTATATTGAAGTTTACAGCTTTACCCTATGCCTGATAAATGTGGCTGAGTGGCTGAGGCACACAATCAGCACCGCGGGGCTTGAGTACCTGTTTTTTTCAAGCCCCACTCCACCCCACCACAAATTCGTCGTGGATGTCCAAATTCTAGCATCGCTTGTGAACCGAAAGACTGATTGACGCATCCCCCGCTTCCGAAGCCAACACCGAGCTTCTTTGATTTCGTCTATCGCGCACCCGAAAGCGCAAGGAAATCATCGATACTGTTCTTCCCAAAATGGCGGACTCTCTCGACTACGTCAAGATCTGCGAAAGCTGCCCCGCCGGTGACGGTTGGGGTCCTGCAGTCACCACAGAGACCACCCTCAACGGCGTGCCATATGCGCCTTTCTCCAAGGGTGACAAGCTGGGACGCATGGCCGACTGGACTGCCGAGGGCAAGGATAGAGAGAGAGGTGGACGGGCACAGTACAACAGGAATTTCCGAGGTAGGTCATATCGTGTTGTCGTGTTGTTCTATTCTCCGTCGAGATCACACTCGTCTTGAATGAGCTCTTGGCTGACCGCAATCATTCCTGTAGACCAACAAGTCTATGGCTCTAGCCACGCCATCACCTTTAATGCCCCTCCCGCCGAGGACGAATCAACATTCTCAGTCGTTAGTAACGTCCGAGACTCGACAAAGTCAAGATACGGCCGCGGGGCCGTCTTCACTCGTGGCCGTGGCCAACGTGGAGGTCAGGCCGGTGCCCGTGGCGGACGAACCCAGCTTCAGAGAGGAGGCGCCGGTGCCGCTGGCCGACAGGGCTACGACCGAGGTGGCCGATCCAATGCTGGTCGTGGCGGTCGCCGCTTTGGCTGGAAGGATTATGACAAGCCTGCTCGTAACCGAGACGCCAGTATCAATGTCAAGGCCGAGTGGAAGCTTCTTGAGGAGATCGACTTCAACCGCTTGGCTAAGCTGAATCTCGACACCGACGAGGGCGAGGATATTGATGACTACGGTTTCCTCTACCACTATGACCGCTCTTATGACAAGCAGCCTGTCAAGGGCGCCGAGAAGAAGCTTACACCAATCGACCGTGCTGCCTACAACGTTACCACCTCATCCGATCCCGTAATCCAAGAGCTTGCCGAGAAGGACGAGGCAACTATCTTCGCCACAGACAGCATTTTGTCCATGCTCATGTGCTCTCCTCGATCCGTTTATCCCTGGGACATTGTCATCTCTCGACAGGGTAACAAGATCTTCTTGGACAAGCGTGATAATGCCGCTCTTGATATGGTGACAGTCAACGAGAACGCCGCCGATGCTCCTCTCGATGCTGCCGATGGTAGTAAGGACACCATCAACCAACCCAATGCCCTCGCCGAAGAGGCCACCTACATCAACCATAACTTCACTAACCAGGTCGTCATCGAGAGCGAGTCGTCAAAGGTCACTATGGCTCACGGCAACCCCTTCTACAACTCCTCCGAGGATACCGACCCTCCTGCCAGCAAGGCCTACAAGTACCGACGCTTCGACCTTTCCCTCAACGAGGAGGAGCCTGTCCACCTTGTCGTCCGAACAGAGGTTGACGCCGTTCAGAGGAACGCCATCAGCGGCGAGGACCAGCACGTCAGCATCCATGCTCTCAACGAGTTTGACAGCAAGGCTCAAGGCAGTGGTGGCGCTCTTGACTGGCGAAGCAAGCTTGTTACCCAGCGTGGTGCTGTTGTTGCTACCGAGATGAAGAACAACAGTTGCAAGCTCGCCCGCTGGACAGTGCAGAGCATCCTTGCCAGCGCAGACGTGATGAAGCTTGGGTAAGTTTGCTAATTCACTGATACCTGAATGTTTTACTAATCGATTTGCAGTTTTGTTTCCCGTCTTACCCCCCGCTCCAATGACAAGCATGTCGTATTGGGCGTTATTGGCTGGAAGCCCCGCGATTTCGCTAACCAGATGAACCTGTCTCTCTCCAACGGTTGGGGTATTGTTCGCACTATCGCCGACATGTGTCTTAGCAGCGAGAGCCAAGATGCCAAGTTTGTCCTCGTCAAGGACCCGAACAAGTCTATCCTCCGTCTGTACGAGGTGCCTGCTGGCAGCTTCGACGATGATGAGGAGGAGGAGATTGAGGAGCCCCAGGGCGAGGAGGAGCAGTAGATCAGAGAGAACTGGACACGGCCATGTCACGTTGTGCATATTCGGTAGTTTCATGATGGAGGGGAGGGCCACGGGATAAAAGGCATGAGATTTGCAGGGAGTCCCATGCTCTAATGATTTGAAGCAGTGGATGCAATCTCTATCAGGTTCTGGAAGGCCATTTTTGTATTTGACTGCGGTTGCAGTCTGGAACGAAAAGAACACGTGATTTTACTCGACATTTTGTTGTGTCTTTGTGGGGTTTGTGACCTTGAATGAGATTTGTTGGCGCGAAGAACTCACAATTGATCGACTTATATATTAACAGTGTACCCAATAAATATTGCAACGGCGGTTACTATGCTGCAGTTTGAAGAATCGACTTCAACATTTCCTTACCTTCCTGGGCCTCGTTTCACAGCAACATTTTTAAATCGTCACTAATTGGTTGCCAGGACAGGAGAAAGATATCTGCAAGAAATGTTTACCAAGATGCAAGCAATACCAGATATCTCGGGACTTCTGTTGATTCATCAAACAGAGACCACTGGTAATTGGAAGTGGCTTAGAGGCCCAAACGAATAAAAGTACAACTGCCAGCACAGAACCTCAGTGGCCCGTTCTCGGTAAGGACGGCACGGGCAACCCGAGAGCAGTGCTAACTGTGGTATATTTTACGCGTCTTAGGAGGCAAAGGTTTCGTAATGATGGTAGCCATCTACAATTGATGAGAGACTGGTTTAGGTTACCGGGGGATGGCGTTTGGAGAGAAACCGGCGGGTTGTGGCTGAAGAAGAAGTTCGTGACACATCTGTTCTTGGCTGAAAATGACATCAGTTGATCAATCTGAATCTCGAGATGCTCGACCTCCAGTATAGACTCATGGTAACCTAGGGGGGGCAAGAAAACTTGAGACATCTAGCCTAAGTGACAAAAGAACTCAGGTCAATTCAACTTGGAAACGGCGTAGAGTTAGTGGACCATGGACTGAGTATTTTTGGCACCTTGCCCCAAGATCAGACGTTTTCTTACTCCCCAAGAGTAACGTCTCGTTCATGCCGCACTACCGATCAGACAGACCTTAGGGTGACGGGGACCCTCCCCAAAGCAGGCATTACGAGCCTCTAATTGGTTGATCAAGCTTCTTCCTTGCTCCAGTTCCAAATGCTCTAAGATGGCTGTCTAGGTAGTACCTAAGGTAGGCTGTTGCCGATGGGCCAATTGAAGGTCCGCTGCCCGTGACCTCGATACTTCTAACATGGCGGGCGCAACATACCTTACTTCTTCTCCTCCACCCTCATCTCCATCATTTCTTTCTAAGGCGGTACCTCTCCTGCCTGCGCTTCTTCATCATACATCACCTCTAGGCGGTCTATCGTACGCACCTCAATCGCAGCAACACCAGCTTCGTGTATCTATACCATGTCTGCTCAAGACTACTATGGCGGCGGTGGCGGCGGTTACCCTCAGCATCCCCAACCTGTTCGTAACCAATCGCATTAAAAAAACCTTGATCGCAGTTGCTAATTATCTTGTTTCGCAGTCTTACGGTCCCCCCCAAGGTCAATACGGCCCTCCCCAAGGCCAGTATGGCCCTCCTCAGGGACAGTATGGTCCCCCTCAAGGGCAATATTACGGTCCACCCCAAGGCCAACCTCCCATGCAGTACCAACAAGCACCTCCTCAGCAAAGTGGTGGCAAGCGCGGCGGCGGCGGCTGCTTGACGGCTTGTCTGGCGGCCATGTGCTGTTGCTGTGTTGCTGAAGAGGGATGCGAGTGCTGGTAAGTCAACTCTCGTGGAGTCATTGGCGTCATCAACTATTGGAGGCTCTTGACTAGCACCAATTGAGCTCTGCGCATGCTCAAAACCAAAGCGAAGCGAATACATACTAATGTGTGTCGCCCTCTAGCATCGATTGCTGTGACTGCCTCTTTTAAGCGGCCTGCCTCAACAAACAAAGTAAATACGATCCCCACGATATATATAATAAGCCCGCGCACGGCTCTATGAAAACTCCAAGAATCATTACACCTCTTCAAACAATTTGTAAAAGCCTTTACGAATACTCTGTTCCTTGATTAATTAATATATGACGTTCTCTCGCAGAGATGGTGGACGTGGCATTATCAGGACAAACAGATCCAGTAACCGGACTGAACAGCCGAGTGCGGTTCAATGTTCGAGCATACTGACCGATCGATGGGCGTAGCTCGTCGTTACCAAGTACACGGCAATAGCTATTGTATCAAATACTGTCATAACCAATTGATATGAATATAGAACATTGAATCATTTGTTTTGAAACTGTACGCGAGCTGATAGCGTTCTTTCATCTACTGTCAAGTTTTTCCCCACCCCATAGGCTTAATACATTCCTTTCGCCTCATTATTGATAATAAAGCACGCCCGAAGATCACTGGTTGAGTTGCACGTAATTGGCAGGGAATAGACCGGCTTGTCCAGCATAGTGGCCAAACCACCAATCCTCGTCAGGGAACTCCAAATTGGTAATTGTGGCGTCTTCAGGGAAGCTCAATTCTGCAAGCAGGGTTTAGTAACTGGTTCTTTAGCGTGAGTGTGGATCTTACCATTATCTTCTGCCGCCTCGTAATCGTAGAGGGCAACAGCCGTGTGGCCGGCCTGCTGCTCCGGAGCTTGAGGCTCAGGCTCGGGCTCGGGCTCGGCAACAGGTGGTGGAGGAGGTGCCGCCGCCGCCGCAGCAGCAGCCGGTTGCTCAGACTCGTCATCTCCCACCAGTTCAACGTAGTTGCTAGGGAATAGGCCGCTCTCACCTCGTGAGTTAGTACCCATCCACCAATCGTCATCCACCATGTCAATGTTAGTGACAACATCACCCTCGATCAGGTCGATTTCGTTGTCTTCAGCCTTCTCGTAGTCGTATTGGATCACGGCACGATAACCTCCCTGAGACTCTTGAGCTGGCTGAGCTGCGGGTTCAGGAGCGCGATGAGGCTCTGGCTCTGGCTCTGGACTGGGCTCACGCTCGAGAGCGCCGGCTGCAGCAGCAGCTCCGACCCCAACAGCAGCCCCTACGGCAACACCTGCAGCCGCACCGCCAGCAAAACGGGCGGTAGATGAGACCTCCTTATCGTCTGCAAGATCAGACTCTTTGGGCACATCAATCTGGCTAGGAGTAATAGGAGGTGGAGCACGCTGCTCAGGCGGGGTGCCGACTTCTGGCACAGGTCCACGGCTGACTGGAACAGCAACACGAGGGGGCGAGGGGGATCTCTCACGCTCTGCAGCTGTTTGGTAAGCGGAGGGGTCTTCCCGTTCGTCGTCCTGCTCATCTGCAGGTGCTGGTCGGCTAGGCAGTCCGGGAAGGGCAAAGCCTCCCGACGGTCGACCGCTAGGAACAGGCGGCGGTGTAGTGTCGTCCTCTGCAGGGCGAGCAGCGGGAGGGGGAGGGGCTCCTGCGCTGATAGGGGCAGTGTCCTTGAAACGGTCTCGTAGAGCTGACACACCTGATGGCGATGCTGGTGTATCCTCAGGTTGCTCGCCTGTGTTTTCCTGGCTAATCTGTCCAGGTACACCGCGACCATAATCACCGGTCTGCACTGGAGCCCAGCTCTTACCAGAGTAGCCACTCTTCCACTCGCTTCCGCTCTTCTGTGGCTGAACAGGAGAAGTACTACCGACAGGAGCAGGGGCGGGAGCACTGGCGGTGTCTTCCCCCCTCTCCCTGGCCTTTCGCTCGGCCCATAGTTGGGCAGGAGTCTTTCCGCCTTGATCAGCAAACGTACGGCTTGCAGCACCAACAGGGGCAGACTTGGCAGGAGCGGGAGCTCCAAAGCCTAAGCCGCCGGGTGTGGGAGCCTTTGTGCCCGAAAAGCCTCCTGCGCCACCAAACTTGTTGGCGACCTTGGGTTTAGGAAGGGATGTTAGACGTTCCGACTGAGCTGGCTGAGAGAAAGCAGACATGCGTTCCGACACAGGTCGAGACTCGTCCTCTTGAGGTTTCTCCGAGGCAGCAGGCTTAGCCTGTGCCCGGATTGCAGCAATGTCAACCTTTCCAACGGGTTCGTAGGATCCCTTCACAGGAGTTGGCCTGTCATCCTGGTCTTTTTGAGCCTGAGCACGAATAGCTGCAATGTCGACCTTGCCAATGGGTTGATAACCGCCCTTCACCACGTCGCCTGGTGTGTCATCGCGCTTGACGGGGGCGCTTCCGCTGGTAGTCGCCGTCGGTTGCTTGCTGAGATCAGCAATGTTGACCTTTGTAGGCTTGTAAGCAGACTCGACCTTTTCGATCTGAGTCCTCGTGACAGGAGGAGCATCAGCACCCCACCCATCCTCATCGACATTTTCCTCTCTTTTGGATCGAGCAGCGACGAGTGGGTTGGCACGGCTGGAGGCTGTCGGGGTGAAGACAGGCTTGGTCTTGACAGGAGGAGGTGCAGCAGAACGAGGACTGTCTGAGCTTCCAGCTGAGTACTTGGCGCCGGAAGCATCGGCCACCTTTTGCATGATGGAGTCAATTTCGAGATCGCTCTCGGAGCGAGCGGTAATCTGAACATGGTATCCGTGGAGGATCTTGGAAACCGCAGCAAGATGGCTGGTGAAGTAGCCCTTGGTTCGCTCAGGAACACCTCCTCCACACCATGCGATCAATATGTTCTTGGGAAGGCCACTGTTGGGGTCCTTGACCTTGGCAAATGCGAATTGAATGCGCCCTTCGCTAAAGTCCTCAATCAGATCGGCGAGGTCGCTTTCTGTATACATGTTAGCGGGCTGATGGGATGATAAACATCCCTTGTGTAACATACCGCCTGTTCCTTGGACTTTGAGAATACTCTCCTTGGCTCCGCTGTCTTGGAAGGCATTCAAAAGAGGGGCCTGGACCGAGAAAAGGGCCCAATGAGCATGAGTGGGAGAGTCGGAGGATGGCGGGGCACCGTTAACAACACTGCTGTAACTGCTCTTAATGGACGGGCCATTTATCGAGGTATTGAGAGATGCCATCTTGGGGATTCTTGAGATGTTAGGACGGAGTCAGGCAGACTTGAAGCTGAAGCTGATGAGCTAGGATGACGGAGGTTGGGGGTGACGTTGGCACCGTTGCTGCGGCGGTGGCAGCTCCACACGGAGAGAGAAGATATAAGTTCCGGAGGCGTAGCCAGGGGAAGGATTATCGTGATCAATTCTCCAGTACGTCTGGTATCGCACAGCGTCGAGATATTGCTGTGGGAGCTGTATTTGGGAGAAGTTGAGAATGGAAACTGAACGTAGATCGGGGGACAGTGGGAACCTTGGGTAGAGACTACCTTACGGAAACCATACAGTAAAAGATCCCAGAAGTGGGTTTCTCGGAGTGTGGCTGATGATGTAGCTTCGTACGTCGTCTGCATCAGTGACCTAATGTTGGTAGCTTAAAGAATGCCCAACCTTGGGGCGGTCTAGCTGGTCTACAGTGGGCTGAGCGGGGTCAAGCTGTGCTGTTCATGCTTGTATGCGTTGTGTGCTCCGTTGTGCTGCTTTGATGAGCTGTTAACTGGTTATAGCGATGGGAGCTGTCAATGTCAGCATTACACATCAGAATGCATCTAGCAGGGCTATATGCAAGTACCCGGCTCCGGCAGCGGAGGGCTGATATTATCCACCAGACATAAAGATACAAGCCAAAGGAAATGACGCAAGGACATTTTCCTATTTGCACAATCTGTTGCCCGTCCTCTCTCTGTATACGACTGCCCCTCTGGGTTTGTGGAAACTGATAGACCCTGATTTTCTTTGATGAAAATAAGTGCGAGTAATTTTCACACAAGCATGAATTTATGTGTTCTAAGCTTTATTGGAGTTTTCACTCGACGTAGAGTCATATTCCCAAATCCTAAGTGCCGTGCTCTTACAAAGAGAATTGCCTTTCCCTCTTTTTCCTACACCTTGCCTGTCATTGGATACCAGTATTTGTACCCCGCCAAAGTGAACCTTTGCCCCCCATTCCGTGGAGATTAATTAGTTGCTACTGACCGGACTGCCTTAAACTAATTCGACTCCGACTGTTTCTTTCTCTCTCTTATCAGATCGAAACCCTGACGCATCCATCTCACCACCACCAAAATGTCTACCATCACGGAAATTAACAGTATCCCCGAGTGGGAGCAGCTGCTCAGTTCTGTCCCTTCCACTACCCTCGTCGTCGCATCGTTCCATGCGCCGTGGGCCGCACCATGCGCGCAAATGGCCACCGTCCTGTCGACCCTCGCTTCCGAATATCCAGTCACCGAACCTCCTACCACAAAGTGGGTTTCCATCAACGCAGAGGATCTGAGCGACCTCAGCGAGACGTACGATGTCACTGCTGTCCCTTTCCTTGTCCTTTTAAGGAACGGCCAAGTTGTCGAGACTGTGAGTGGCAGTAGTGCCGTAAAGGTGCGCACAGCGATCGAGACACAGGCAAAGCAATCTGGTCAGAATGCAGAGGCAAGCGCACAAAACGGTATCGACACCAACGATGCCGAAGCCGAGGAGCAAGATCCCGAGAAGAAGAAGGAGGAGCTCTTCAAGCGTCTTGGGGACCTCGTGAAGGCTGCACCCGTCATGCTCTTCATGAAAGGCACACCCAGCTCTCCTCAATGCGGCTTCTCCAGACAATTGGTTGGACTACTTCGCGACAACTCGGTCAAGTATGGTTTCTTCAACATCCTCGCCGACGACGAAGTTAGACAGGGGCTCAAGGAATTTGCGGACTGGCCAACATACCCGCAGCTCTGGATCGATGGCGAGCTTGTTGGTGGACTGGATATTGTAAGCCGCACTCGCATTTTCGCTTTGACTAATGCTGACAAATCCATAGGTCAAGGAGGAAATGGCCAACGACGCCGAGTTCCTTACCAAGTACAGCGTCAGCGCTCCCGCAGCTGTTTGAGGCGGAATACATACGTTACGAAACTCATGACGCATTTATGTTTAGAAGGCGTGACAATAGCCTGGCGCGTACTGCTGAATATTGCACTGCCTGGCCCTGGTGAAACTCAACCTTTTGAGTGATAGTATCCGGCAATGCAATATCAAGCATTCCGGCTGGTGGTTTGACAAGTGGCAAATTGAAGAGAGAAAACGAGGCCAAGAAGTCCTGAAGTCCCAGGAGGTTGAAAGCTAAGGCGCAGGGACTTTATCCAAGAATATTGTGGCCATGTAAAGCCGCGCTGATGAGCTCTTGTCGAACCTATCATGCAACTAATGGCTCACTGAATGGTTAGGCTGGACCATGTGTTCCCGAATACTTTTAATCGTTCATATCAGCTTATGCTTGAAGCTGGATGGGAAGAGGTTCACAGTATCTACAGGAATAGTAAAGCATGGAGAGAAATGTAAATATCACCATTTCTATGCGATCTTAGCTGCAGACACATTGTAATTTGCCAAAGGCGATGGATTTACCGCTGGGTCCCAATGTTCGATTTGCATAACGTACTATAGTGATGGGATCGACATAGTGTCCTTAGTGGTACTGTAAGTCAGGGAATTGGTTATAGAAGGCCTCAGATACAGAGCGAAGAGTGTGGTGTGATGGAGTTTAGTGACAAATATCGGTGATAAACATGGGCCGGCTCCGAAATCCGAGCACCCATACAGCAGATGTCGAATCCGATGAACGAGAATGACTCACAGGCTAGGCAAGTAAGATTTGTGACTTTGACTCTTTTTAGCAGATTGTGGTTCGTTTGATTGAGATAGTTGCCGTAACGCCCGTCAAGTGATGAGTTTACTGCACCTGGCTGACTTCAGCCATCACGTTAAAGAAACTAATAAAAAAGAGGCCCAGGTAACTATGCCAATTGCAGAGAGCACTGGGATGGATGTTTCCTACAGGAAAGACACGTGCAAGACAGCAGAGGTATCACAAAGGCTCTTTTAAATCGAGGGACGAAGACAAGAAATACCCTTGTCTCTGTGAATGTAAAACAACCCCACCATCTTGCATCTAGCATCGATGCTGGGATGCACACGCGTTCCTTGACTTGACTGCGGTGCCTAGTTCGTTTGTTCCTCATTCCCAGGCTGCCGGGCGGTTTAATAAGGCTGATGCTGACGGGACATTCTGGAGACCAAAAATTGGATTCAGATCTAGCCCTTTTCCTTTCCACCCTTTTTAGAGATCTTCTCGTTTCTCTCCTTATTTGAAGCAAGGCACCGGAGGTACCGACACCTCCATGATCAGCTTCAATCATCTCATTGATCCTTTGGTTGGATATCCTGCGTCATCTGCCCTCACATCCTCTGTACCTCTGCTGACTGAGCTGACTGGGTAATTTCGACTCGACAAAAAAACAACCCGCCATTCTCCATCCGTTTCATTCTGTCTGGAGTTGGAATCCATCTGTAACGCTCTATAGGTAGCTTGAGCTCAGGCGTCTTCTTTTGGGCCGTCTCCTCGCTATCTTCGCCTCCCATTCCCGTCTTCTTCCTCCCTGACGGGATCGCGACCTCGCTATCGCTACAATCTCGGTCATCAACTATAGCGAGTGACCTGCAAAATCCCATTGCCTAGATTTGAATCCCCCGTCACACATCTCCAGCAGACCGCAACATTGGGTGCCCCTGGCCCCCGATATCTCCACGGATTATCACCATCCGCCTTTTCACCTCCACCGCATCACACTGTGCGGTGCCTCAAGTGGGAGGCTGTGCTGTACCGTGTTAATTCGCTGCTGCTGCAGACCTAAGGGCGTGCGGACGTGTCGGACTTGATCAACGCCACCTCTAGGTTCCTGGAGACCGTTTGGGGCGAAACGGTTCCATTATCCTGCGCAACTGTGTTGCGACATCGACATTGGCTCACCAGGCGGGTTGACTCGTGGAGCCGCATTTCCCGGTTGGTCAGACAAGTCTTCTGTTGACCAGGTTGCCGTAGTTGCGGCAGTATTCTGGAAGGGCGCTGTATTATTCATATCAAGCTCTTTTGGGTTCCACCAACCGCTCAAGACTCAATATATTGATGGGGTTTCCCCTGGCGCTGACCAACTCTTGTCTCATCATCGTCTGTCAGCATTGGAGTCGGATCCCTCATCTCATCTGTTGAAACGTCCCGTCCGTTTCCTTCCCCTTGTCACAATGACCCCAACTCCTCCTTCGACCAACTCGTCTCAGGGAGCCCGCTCTCCCGAGGAACAGTTCCGCGTTGTGAGGAAGAGGAATCGCGTGCCTCTAAGCTGCTATCCTTGTAGGACGCGCAAGTATGTTACCCCTAGAGCATTGCATCAATATTTACTAACATCGTCCGTAGGTTGTGAGTTTAAATGACACCTCAACTCCTCATCCTTACTGATATCCGTCAGAAAATGTGACAGAAGTCATCCTTGCAGCAACTGTACGAAGCGCGAGGGTATGGGGACCACCTCATGCTCTTACGCCACGCCGGTTACACGCAAGAAGAATCAAAGTCAAGGAGACTCGAGTCCTGATGACATGCAGAATCGTATTGACCGTTTAGAAGGCTTAGTTTTATCCCTTATGCACGGAGGTGCTAATGTAGATGCTGCATCCGCCGCAGCCGCTGGAGCAGCGACAACACAATCCACCACGGACAGCGGATCTTCCGCGAAGGCTGGAAAAGGAGACGACAATGCAATGGCATATGATGAGGAAGAAAACAGTGACGAAGAGGAGGGACTGGCCACGTCTTTGGGTTTTCTTAAAGTGGACACGGACAAAGGCAAGTCGCTGTATGTTGGCCAGGAACATTGGCATACCCTCCTTGCCGATATATCTGAGGTGAAAAACTACTTCACATCTCACAAGAAGGAGTTAGAAACAAGTTATGAGCGAGTCAAATCTTCAAAGCCTATGGCTGCAAGAGAGGGGCCGACACTCCTGCTAGGAGCACTCCCTGCATCCGAGATTGAAATAAGAGCAGAGCTTCCCCCGAAGTCTGCTGTTCTGACGCTCTGTAGTCGATACTTCAACTCCATGGATAATGCTGTCAACATCATTCATGGGCCAACATTTCAACAGCAGCTGAAAGACCACTGGCAAGATCCTAACAAGACGCCCATTATGTGGCTTGGTATGCTCTACTCGGTTCTCTGTCTAGCAATGCTGAGTTACCATAAAGTGGGCGACGAACCTCCTGAGTGGAGAGGGCGAACCCTTGAGCTTGCAAATGAATACCGGTTACGCACGGTACAATGCCTGATTAAATCAGACTATACAAAACCTAACGAATATACGGTTGAGACTATGATACTCTATGTATTTGGAGAATATTCGTCTCGATGGGATGCTGATTTAGGGTTGTGGTTAATCGTGTCTCTAATTGTTAGAATCGCGTATCGAATGGGCTACCACCGAGACGCCAAATGGTTTCCGTCAATTACACCATTTCAAGCTGTAAGCTGCACGTCGGCATGCTGCTAACATCGATTTGCTGATCATGCTTAGGAAATGAGACGGCGGACGTGGGCCCTCGTACGAATGTCGGATGTTATCTTCTCACATCAGGTTTCTCTACCCAGCATGATCTACGAAAATGATTGCGACACCCAACTCCCCAATAACATATTTGACGATGAGTTCAATCCCAGCATCAAGGAGCTGCCCCCTTCTCGACCATCGACTGTCGCTACTCCCATCGCCTACATGATTGCCAAGTCAAGATTATGTTTTGAGTTAGGAAACATCCTCCAGGCTACAGGACAAGTTGGCAAGCATGTGCCTTACGACGAGATTATTCGCTTTGATGCCAAACTACGACAGATCATGCAAGAACTACCGCCGCATTTAAAGTTAACGACATTAGAAGGGTCCCATGATCCAGTGACTTTGATCATCGCCAGGTTCAATGTCGATATTTTATACCAGAAGATTTTATGCTTGCTTCACCGCAAATACCTTCCCAGGGCGAGGCAGAGCGCAAGATATGCACACTCTCGGAGAGCTGCAATTGAAGCATCGTTGACCGCACTCGATCATCTGGCAGTACTGTACCGAGAATCACAATCCAACGGAAGGCTGCGCTCAGTCAGTTGGTTTGTGAAGTCGATTGCTACCAAAGACTTTACGTTGCCTGCAATGCTGATCATTCTTGATCTCCATTTTGACAACATTGCCGCGCAGTCTTCAGTTCCCCAAGACGATGAGGGTGCTTCAACTTGGAACGATGACCAACGATCCAAAATGATTGGCAGTTTAGAAACAGCGAGAGAAATTTGGAACACACTTGCAGATACCTCAATGGAAGCATTCAAGGCGGCCAAGGTCATTGATATCATGCTAGATAAGATCAAGGACCCTGCCTCGATCAGTTCAGAAATGCCGGGCGTTCCATCGCCAATGCCAGGCCTGACGCAAGGGGTTGGGACTGATGTTTCGCCGGCTATGGCCCCGGGTTTCGTCTCACCAAGCAGCTTACCCGATTTCAATGCGACGGCCAACCCCTTTTCGACGCCTAACCCGGCCGCCTTTATAGGTATGGACTTTGGCATGCCTGGGTCTGAAGGACTTGATTTTCAAACCGATGGATTCGCTGGGGCTGGTCCAGCTTCTCCTTTCTCCTCCATGTTCAGCAACCTGGGAGCCAACACTAACGCGGGTATGGATATGGGCGCGAATTTTGACTGGGTAAGAAGCGTTTCCGTCAAGAGATCACTTGTACCCATTTCTAACTTCGAATAGAACGCCTTCGAAAACTATACGCAGATGGCCAACTGGGGAGCAGACCAGAGTTTTCAGATATACGGCGCTGGAGGAGACCAGTCATCCCCGGGACAGACCTCTTCGTTGGGTGGTCGTAGTGGAAGCACGTCACAAGCGCCTGGACAAGGAGGTGGCAGAGATGCCAACATGCAATGATGCTGCAGCAATATCAGATAAAATAGTTGGTCTTGTGCTGTGATGTTATGATGGGCAACAAATGAAATGTAAAATCAAGCAACTCTACTTATTCAAATACCCCAGTGATAGGGCCCAAATTGGATTCTTTGAAGTCTCACAAATATGTTATTAATCACCAACTATTTCCATGCTTATGTCATAATCAAAGTGGGCCCCGGCCGACACTGTTATCGATAAGTTCAGAACTTTTGGCTCTTGCTCCCTTCTCTAAGGTATCGCTCCCCAATTCAAGACAACTCCGTGAATTTACTTCACGCCGCATTACGAGCAACGTTTGGTCTGTACAGAAAAGCAGGCGACGTTTGAGCGTCCGATCCTCATTGCTTACACTAGATTGCAGCGCGATAGCTTTCCCCCTTGCTCCTTACCATTCACGCAGACAAGTGTTGACCATCCTTTTCACTCCACATGCTTGATGATCCATCAAACAAGTTGTTTCTTTTTGTGCCTCCTGTCCTTACTCATCACTGCTATTCAGTAGCGCGTCAGATGAGGGATGATTATCCCAGAGAATCAAGGGGCCGACGCCTCTGGTTTAACCGTCACCCCAGGAGCATCAACATCCAGTGGTAGAAGCGAGGCCGACGTGCACATGGCTGATGATTTGGATTATGAGCCCTCAGATGCCTCTAGCTATGACCCTGCAGCGGCTCTACTCGATGCCATCTCCCAGCCCTCGAAAAAAAGGCGACAGTCAATAGATTTCAAGGCTGTCCAGCAAACTAAGAAAGTTAAGCTTGATAAAGCCGATCTTCCAGACCCGCCGGCTCAAAGTCTTGTCAAGGATCGAGCCAAGCAGCTCCCGGAACAGATATGGCAACATATCTTCACTCTTGTACCACCCAGAGACCTGGGTCGTTTGTTGGCTGTCAACAAACTATTCCATGCCTTTCTTAGCCCCCTTTCCACTCATTCCCCAGTGTGTCATAATGATATACCGTCATCCTTTCCTTTACTGAAGCCAGATGCCATCTGGCAAGCTTCAAGAAGACTGTTTTGGCCGCGCATGCCTGCACCCCTAAAGGGGAAATCGGAGATTCAGATGTGGCGTCTCGTTTGTTCTGTGTCTTGCCAACTCTGTGGTTTGCAGAGCCAGAAAAAGCTACCATCTTCGAACAACGAAGCTTGGTGTCGTGGTCCAGGTCCAAGTGACGTCTGTCCCATATTCCCTTTTTGTGTCTTCGCTTGCGGAAATTGCCTGAAGAAAAAGGGCATCAAGGTAGGCGTTTCCAGGATTCTCCCCGGATGCAATTCTAACGTCAGCAATAGGAACTAGAACTTCTCTTGTCTTCTTCATTTCCTTCTGTTCTGCTCCCAGCTCTTCCTCCGGTACTTGTGGATGCCGATATGCATGTAATACATCCCCGTGCCATACAGGCGGGAACTGTGCCGCCACACATCCAGGTTACCAAACTCTTCTGGTCGGAGCATGTTGAACAAATCAAGCTGGAATTCGAAAACGTCAAGGCGCTTGGGTCTGCTGCTGCCGAAGAGTGGATAAAAGGTCTAGAGATCCGAGGAAAGCAGGCTCTAGCCGATGCCTCTCGTTGGGAAAAATGGGCTGGTTCAGGTGGGATGGCTCAGTTTCAGGCACCGAAGACTGCTGCCAAAGCAGAAGCTCCATTCTCATTTACGCCTCTGGCTATTTCAGCTCCCCTTAGTAAGACTTCATCAGCTCCCGCTCAATCAATCGGTGAGCACCATCGCCAAGCACCTGTTGCAGATGACACCCGTGGATCAATGGTGCAATTGGAGGCTAACCTCCACCCCTTACGCACTCCAGTTCAGCAAAAACGGACGAAGGAGGAGGCGGCTCACCTCAAGGCTCAAAGACGGACTGACATTGAGAATCGAGCCATGCTTCTTGATCCTCCGTTGACTGCGAATGTTCTGGCTCATATTCCATCCTTTCAGGCAGCACTTCAACTTATCACGCCGCTTGATGATCACGCATGGGAACTCTTGAAGCCCCGTCTTCTCGCTCAGAGGGTAGAAGCGGAGCTGCGAGAGAAGCAAAGTTGTAGCAACCCCCAAACACTTGGAGACAAGCTTCCGACGATGGAGGCTGATAAAAAGCCCGCCAGGGAACCAAGAGAAGTTACAGACCAGGAATGGGATGATATCCAGGGGCCCGTTCGAGCGCGCATATCGGAATATGCAGACGAAATCATCGAAGGATGGAACAACGGCGCCAAGGTCAAGAGAAAGAATTGTCCGCAATATGCCGCAGATGTGCTGCTTTACGTTCGTAAAAGGTTCTATGCCGAAGTTGCAAAGGACACTGCTGCCACAATCGCGGCAGGGAAGAAGCCGATTGTCGAGCCCCTAGAGGGGCCTTGGACTCAACGGTTGACACTGGAGAACATGAAGTGGGTCTTTGATGTCAAGGTCAAGCCCCGTACCGAACCTATGCGCAAGGAGTTGTTTCTTTGTAACAGCTGCCTCGGTGTGAATGGAGTCTTGAAATTCTTTGGATTCGAGGGTGTGCTTCAACACTATGCAGCCAAGCACACAGTTGCTCTCAGTCTGGGTAATGTTGTCGTGCACTGGAGAGCGGAGTGGCCAGAAGTGCCTCCTTTTAGTCCTGACCCTCTTGCCAAAGAGAAAGCCTATTATGACAACGAGCCACGCAACTCACTCGCGTCAAATGTTCCAGTTCAACAAAGCTATTCTGTCTTTCAACCTGGTACACCAGCAGGATATGCTCTGCCTGCTTACGGCGCAGAAGCACCGCCATTCTCGTTTTACAGTTCCAGGCCTCCAATTCCTCCTGTATCTGTATACGGGCAAAATTCAGCCCATACCTACGGTCCATCTTACTCAACAACAACATATTACGACCCTGCAACATATTCTTCATACCCAGGACCGTTTTCTTCGGGGATGGCACATGGCTCTCAAAGACAATTGAACAGCTACACAAGACCTCCGGTTCCGGTTCCTAACCCTTCCGAGTGTGTATCATATTCCAACTACTACGATAGCAATAACATCGCCTCAGTCAACAGCACTCATCAATACCAACATGAAAGTTTCATCAGGAGCACTCAATCTGTCTGGTCAAAGGTTGGGCATCATAAGAAGATCCCACCTGCAGTTAGGGCTTACGTCGCCATTTACCATGCTAACAAACTGTTCGAGGAGTCTGAGAGCGAGATCCTACCGTTGTCGCTGTTCATTGAAGCCACGTCGAAAAATAAGAAATTACGCAGTCTGAGGGCTCTCAACGGAGTTTCTTGCAAGGTGTGCAACGACGATAACATATTTCACGTACCTCAACTCGCCAGACATTTTGAATCAGAACATGTCGAAAAGCCAAGGAGTCAAGGACGAGCACATATGGATTGGCGAACAGAAATGATAAAAATGCCTGAAAACGAGCGAATGGCTGGACTGGAAATCAAGACTCGGGGAGACTCTGTCTTGTACACTCTTGTTAAGGAGGCTCTTCCCTGGGCATTCGAACAAGCCTTCATAGACAAATATGCTTCGAAGCCTGCGCAAACAACACCCAATAAGACACCACCTCCACGAGTGTCAGTGCAGACGCCTATGCCAAACAATCGATCAAGGGAAGAACGCCAGCAAAGTGATGTCGGGCATGTGAGGGAGCAAACGCAGCAGCCGGGTCATGCGGATCTGGGAAGTCAGTCCTTGGCATCAAGTCGACTAGACCTGCGCCTTTCTGCACATATCGAGTCTGAGCCAGACATACCGCATCTTCGTCCAGCAAGCGAGGTTTATGGTCGAAAGATGGTCGGGGCTAGAAGGACACAGGGGAAACCTGTATCCCAAGCCGCTGATAGTGCTTCAACGTTTGGCAACTACTCGCCATCGGACTTCGAAAAGTTTCAAGATCCACATAACAGAAGCAACAAGGTTGACGTCGGGGTCGAGACTGAGCAGGAAGTCACCACTTATCATGTTTCATATCCTACAGGGCCGCGGAACAAGGCTCATTGGCGCGAAGAAAAATCATCCGATTACCGTGACGTCCGAGAACAGCGTTATTCGGACCCAGAACCAGCTAGTCCACGTAACAGAAGCGCATCGGTTGGCGACCGGCCTCAAGACCATCATCCGTTAGTGGCCATATCGGTTGCTACAGCACCCAGCTACGCGGAGGTCGAAAGAAGGGGGCGTGAAGAACCTCATGTGGCTCAGAACCACCAGATAGTTGAAGAGGAGGTCATCTACGTTGATGAATCCGGACGGGAGATTGGAAGAGGTCTTAGAGCCCGAAATACCCTACCACAGGAATCCAGATATGGCCCGGTCAACGCTGAAAGGTTTGGCGAGCATGCCCGACCTTCACCCTCATGGTTTAACAACCATAACCAATTCTATTATAGAGAACCTAGCCCTCGGCCTCAATATGCACCACCAGAACGCCACTTCGATCCTCCAGCTAATTCCGATCATGTCTATTATAATCGTCACAGTACTCGTCCTCCGCTAGAGTATTCAGATGCATATGAAGTCGTCGAGGTTCATCATCCAGACGGCGACTACTTCATCAGGCGCCCTGTACGACAGGTTGACAGGCCATACCATGCCTATGAGACTAGACAGCCACGACCAGAGCAGAGCATATTCCCTCAACGAGGAATAGCTCAAGGCCCTTCGGGCTACAACTTGACTCATGAAGCAGATCCTCATATTCCGAGTCGGCCTGCTCTTATGCCTAATTATAACGACAACCCACGATATCCTTCTTGTGCAACAGGGGGAATACCAGCGGACCATGGGAACCAGCGATGATTTACTCAATGCACTCCAGTGTCGTAATGGAGGAAAGATGACACCAACTAACTAGTGCCGATTCGTGTATACATATCTATATATACAAATCACTGCAACATCGTGTGTATAATGTCTTTCTTCATTTGAAGTCGGTCCTTTCCCCAGACAATTCAGAGAACGTATTCATCATTTGACAGATATTATAAAGTAGTACATTGTGTGTATTCTGCTAGGACGACGAGCCGAGTTTGGTTTGCTTTTTTACATACATACATCCATACATACAGGCCCTCCTCTTGTATTCCGATCCCGTCTTCTCGTTAGAGCCATTATCAGAAACTAAAGCTGAGTCTGGCCGCAATTCCAATGCCAGTTGGTGATGTACAAGATAAGAGGGAAAACGATGATAATGAAAAGAACAAAATTACAACACTCTTTTCTTCTCTCGTTTCTCTCCTTTATTCTGCTTTTCCTGCTCTGCTCCATTGAGGAGCAGAGCAGTCAAGATTGGTTCAAGAGCCCGAGCCCGTGACCAAAAGCGATCGACATTGTTTGGTGTTTCCAAGTTATGTTCCGCCTTTCTCCTTCGAGTCTATCCTTCCATCCGTATATGGCTGTTACTGGTCTTTCTTTTCTTCATTATTGTCAGGTTGAACGGGACGCTGTCGCATGGTGACCATTTGCCAGAAACCCATAGATCAAAATCAGTGCTGAATCTACAACACCTCACCAATGATCTTAGCGGCCTCACGGTAGGTTTGAAGCAGGCGCTCGCACTTCTCACGCTCCTTCTTGACGCCATCATCCTCGTAAAGGAGCTCCTCAAAGAGAGATTCCTTGTAGAGCTCGCTAACGAGGCGGTTCTGAACGACGTCCTTACAGTGGTTAACGAGGAGGTGCATGACAGCTTTAGGGACCTGGTCGGCGATGGACTCGCGAACAATGTTGAAGTAGGAAGAGATAAGAGCTCGGATAAGCTCCGTCTCCATGGCCTCGCGATCTGTCATAGCTGGCTCCGCGGATTCACCCTGGTGGTGGGGGTTAGTTTCGTGTGAGAAGAGGAGACCGGGCACCTGTAGATCCTCGGAACTTACCATCTGGGATGCCAAGCCGTAGTTCTTCCCTGTTCTATCGTACAAGTCATCCTCGGGGGCCATTGTTGTCGCTGTAGATGGCCGGGCAAACTCCCTCTCCCGACGCACAATAGGGAAGCTAGTCTCCGAGTTTTGGCTGATATGTCGTCCGTTAGGCATATTGGGCATGGCGCCAGGGCTGGGAAGGGGACCGCCAATGGTCTGGCCATCCTTGCCGAAAAAGTAGTTCAAGAAGGAATCTCGGGCACCTCCGAGTCCCTGTTGGTTGAGTCGAGCAGGTGAAGCTGAACGAAGAGTGCCGTTTAAATGCGTCGCGTTCATAGTGGCAGCAAGGCTGGAGGTTCCGTTCTCGCGGACTGAAAGAGAAGGCGATATGCTTCGAGGAGGCTTCGTGGCCTTGGTTCTTCCTGACTTGGTCTTTTCAGGCTTATCAAGAGGGCCACTGACACCGTCCTCATTTTCAGGGCCATCACCATCGGCCTCAAGCTCCTGCAGACGCCGCTTCTCTCGGCGCTCGCGCTCCTCCTGGATCAGCCTTTTCCTTTCTCGCTCCTGCTTTGCACTGACTACGTTACTCATGGCGGCGGCTGCGCCAAGGAAGTTAGGGTGATTAGTATTGATATAGGCGCGTTGGATAGAGATGAGTGATTCGACATATGACGAAGCAGGACCAAGACGCTCACGGAGCAAGTCTGAGACTGTCTCGATGAGCTTGGCCTGAAGTCTGGGATATCGTGAAAGCTCGGTGGAGCCACAAGTGTGGCAAATCTTGATCAGTTCTTCGTACACAAGTTCAACACAACGTTGACTAGGAATTTCCAGAAGCTTGATCTGAGGCTTCACCAGAAGATCGAAAGCCATCTCCGGCACAAAAAGACTGGGTCGGGGTCCAGTTGAGTTTCGGATCGCGGTCCGGATATCGAGGGCGGAGAGGTTGGATGTAGGGTCGATAGTGTCAAGTGCGCTGCCGAAGACAGAATTGAAAATGTAGTAAATACGAGCGCCGCCACATAACTCCTTGGTAGAAATCTCGGTCGAGGTACCGTCAATGGAAGAAATGAAAGAGTTGGCGAAGCGCGTCATTTGCTGGAGGATGAGAGAGCCACGGTGCTCCTTTCCACTGAAATGCATGTCACCATAACTGGCCAACTCCTGTTGCGTCTGCCCCATAAGAGTGTTGAGTCGAGCTTTGATGTCAGGCAAACGCTCACGGATATGACCCATCAGAGTAGTGTTGAGGGTCTTGGCCAGGTAGTGAGTGCCACATCGAATGGAGATGTTACGATAGGCAGGATGGTGCTTGAAAAAGTCAGCCTCGGCCTGGAGAGCATCCTCCATAGGCTTGTTTCCCTGAATATCCTGCTGCGATCGATTGACAACGCCGATAAAACCAAGCTTTAGAGGATAGACGCGGCCTGAAAGAATATCTAGAGCGTTTGTGCCATGATCCATGAGGTCAACCTTTGTCAAGACACCAATAGTCCTTCGGCCAAGGGGGTCAACATGGCGGGCGAGTTTGAGGGCTTCCGAGTTAACGATATCGACGTTGGCGGGAGACACGGCGAGGATAATACTGTTAGGCTTGGCAATATATTCGGAAATAAGGTTTCGAGTCTGCTTCTCAATATCGGTAGGCTGGTCGCCAATGGGGACCTATGGATGGGTTATGATCAGTAATGTCCAGGGGTAAAGCGAAGCTAAAGATCATGGAGATGGAAAGAACAGGAAACTCACCTTGGTTAGTCCCGGCAGATCCACCAGAGTCAAGTTAAGAACATGAGGAGAGTAGATCTTGAGGTTGATAGGTTGTCGGTTGATACCCTTGTTGTTGCCGGCAACTCGGGATGTCTCGTTCTCAATTTCGCGCTTGACATCGCCAAAATCGTTGAACCTCCGGTTGGGGATGTGGTGGAACTCTGCCCACTCGGAACGGCGAGCAGCACCGGGGGATCGATAAGGATCGCTTGCAGGGTCGGGAGCGTTCTCATCTTCGGTAACGTTGATGAGCTGAAGGATCAGGGGACGACGAGTGCAGATGCCGGCTCCGCGCGGTAAAAAATCTCGGCCGACGATATTCTCAAGGACAGAAGATTTGCCTGCAGATTGGGAACCGACAACAACCTAAGTAACGGTCAGTCAGTGCTAGAGTAACCAATTCAGGTAGCAAAAACCGCATACGATCTGAGGGAGGTCCAAAGAGTCACTGCCAATGGTATTGAAAACCAAGTCTTGCAGCTTGTTGACCGTGGTGAGCAGATCCTCGCCAAGAGCAGCCATGATGATAAGAGTCCGATTTTGTGACGAGCGAGTTTGAGATATACCGATGACAGAAACAACAGGACAGGACAGTAGAGTCAAGTAAAGCGTCCGTCACGAAACCCAAGACAAACACAAGGACACGGAGGATGTTTCGAATAATGCGCGCGTTGTCGCTAAATTCAAAATCCGTCGTCAGTTCCGGGAGTTCATGCGGTTCGGTCTGGGAGGCTCAGGCTCAGGCTGAGGATGGCTTTGCTTTGCTTTGCTTCGCTTTGCGCAGTGGAGTCGAGAGCACTTTTGGGGTGATTCACGTGTATTTGCATAATGTTCAACCACCCCCAGGCCAAGGTAATGTAGGGATGGATACCTAGCACCTATTTTTTAGGCCTTGTAATGCCTAGCTCTAGGCCGCTTTACTGGCTCTACCGGAGGTTTCTCGGCTGTGAGGTGCCTCCCCTACTGACCGCTTTCACACCTGATTTACTCCGGAGTTGCGTTGCAGAGGCCGTGCCACGTCACCAGCCACACCTGACAGGATGTTCTTATCCACCACTAGGTGCTTTAACGAGGTTCGCCACAAGGCCTGACTTTTCTACTGTGCTAAAGGAACATGAAGATGGCAATAGATGCACTAGAAATCAGCCAGAAGACCAGTACGGACACGGAATCATGAGTACTTTCGGTAGCCCCGGCCCTTTGCCAACTACAAAGCCAACACCGTGAGTTTAATATCGTCTACTGAGAACAATTCACTAAACAGTTGTGTCGTTCTGAGCAGACCACAGCGTGGAAGCTTCCCTCTGGATCATGATGGTGAGTGGACTGTACAAAACAACACATTCAATGGAAGAAGTTTGACCAAAGCAACTGCAGGCGAGTGCAAGACGTACATGACAAAGTATCTTTCATGTATGAAAAAGGTGCGAGGTCTAAATGACGAAGAATGTCGCGACCTTGCGAAGGCGTATCTATCATGCAGAATGGACAGGTGAGCCTATAATTCTTTGACTTATGACGCATACACGTAGACAAATATCTCGGAACAAAGCGGGCTAATAGCGACGGGTATTTTAGAAACTTGATGGCTAGGGACGAATTCAAGAACCTTGGTTTCACAGAATCTCCACCTCCTTCAGCTGTAAAAGCGACGCTAGAGGGTGATAAGGGAACCAAGGATTGAAAGAGACTGGCTAATACGTTTTCCCTCAATTACCTAGGGAGGTAAGTATGGGATTCGACAACTTAAGGAGCCGACTCTCGTACACACTGCCTTATATGTAACGACATTGAGGCTGATACGGACTCTAATTCCTTACTAAGATAGCATTCGAGCAAATGAGAGCAATACACATCAAACCTCCAGTCCCCGCTTCAACTACTGTATCATAAGAACCTAGCAGATGGCGGTGGACGATAATCCACTATAGAAATTTATAGGAACTGCCATATACTGACTCCCTACACCTTACAAAGCTTCCAACAACAAAAATCAATGAGATCATAAGCTTTCGTATTCCTGTCTCATACTTAGACAGAGGCTTTTGTTGCTGGTGGTGATGCCCTGACGCAACCAAACCAGCCGTCTAACATCGCGTTGCCTGGTCAACCCCAGCCGGTTCGATTTGCGACCACCATTAAAACTATCGACCACTAACTACTTCATAGTAAAGCTATCCTTCATCACTCTCTATACCTTGTCAAAACCCTCCTTATTTACCGTCTTGGCCATCTCTTTAACCCCTTTCTCTGCCGGACAGAATATTCTTCCTCCATACCGCATAAATCTCTCTCCCTCATCTTCTGGCAAACATGCCAGGCACAGCGAGGATGATGGAGCCGAAGCGCAAGGTGACTCCTCCGTCACCTTCTTACATGACAGACGAGCAGTTCGGTATGACACACGGAATTGAGTATGGTGACGAAAGTCCTTGGCTAATTTCTCCCTCTGCTGAATAGCCTCCTACCTCGCAGGTCTTCGGTCAAACCGGGTCGCCAGACCTGGAGGTGCAAGACCTCAACCAGCTGGTGCCCGTCCAGTTCCTAGCCGCTCAAGTTTGCACCGCCATAGTACGGGCCGATTCACACCTGATCTTGCTTCTCCTGCCGAGAGCGCACCGCCTATTCTTGACCGTAAGGACTCGAAAAGTCCTAGCGTTGCTGGTGGCAGTCTTGCCTCTAGATACTCTACCATCAGCAGAAAAAGCCCAGACTACTATCCGACTTCAGCTACAAATCCTTTGAGGCCATCGGACGTTGTTCCCTCAGCCACATACATGGAACGAGGTCAAAGATGGATGGAGAAGGAAGAGGCAAGCTCATTGCGCGACGCAATGGAGGAGATGGACATAAGGAAGAGTACAAAATCGCCTGTTCAGGAGACTCCTGAGGATGATACTCGTCTATACAATGCTGCTCTTGATGAAGCTGCTGAGCTTGTCTGGCAACATCAACATGGCACACCTTCTCCCCGTCCCGACGGGCCTTACCGCTATAAGCCACACCTCAGAAAGAATAGCTACGCCCATGCTCGTACTGCTAGTGTCGGCGGTACGCGATCATGCTCAGGCAGTTCTTCAGATGGTGAAGGCATCGAACGTGAAAGCCGACCTGAGTTAGAGCAGAGGCAGCCAAGCATACAGCCAAATCACAAGAACAAGACATATGGCAGCATTGGTCGTTCAGGCAAGGCTCCAGAGCAGAGACGCCAGGGAAGTCTGAAAAGAAACATTAGCGGGGAAGTCGGGCGTCCCTTTTCTGAAGATCAGATTTGGGAAGAACCTGAAGTCTCAACTTCAAATAACATGAGCTTTTCTGGTCGTGCATCACCCGAGAAGCTTGGCAACCGAGCTCAGACAGCTACAAACCGAGTCCGCTTCGAACCCCCACGGGAAGAAGAAGAAAAGACTAAGCCCCTTGAGCGAGTTGAAATACACCGCAATCCTCCCACACGCTCTCGCAATCCTCTCTATACAAGAAACCGCTCCAACGACGGTTCCGTCTCTGTTGATGACAATGTAGAGAGAAAGAATGGCATGGAAGTTCGGAGTCAGGACATTCGCGCGGCCACGAGCATGCGCTTGAAAGATCGCAGCCCAAACCTCCCGGAACCCACAGCCGTCAGTGACAGTCCGGGACGGCCCATTGTAAGCTTCGACGCCAACTGGAAAGCCCCGGACGAGTCCACTGATACCACCCCAGACCGGTCGCTTCCGGCAACCCCCAGCAGATCCTCCTCCTCCTTCGCCCAGCCGGAGAAACCCATGGCGGTACCTGGTATCGTTGTGGCGGAGGAGAGTTCGCCGATGCCCAGGGCGCCAACGGGAACGAAAATCCCGTCGATCTGCGTAGACGAGACATCCCATAGCCCTAGAGGCTCCGTACCTTCGATCAACGTCCCTGGTATTGCTATCGACGAGGCTCCGGGTAAGGGAGGCAGCATTCCTGCAATCATAACCCCTGACGACAAACCGAATTCACCCTCCCGTCCGCTACCTGATCCCGTTGCCAGGGGAGCACCCCGTTCTGCACAAAAGCCTCGTGGCCATTGGTCCCCAGCCCCTGGCAGCAATAGGCGAGCTGTCACGATTTGCCATGAATGTGGCATGCCCATTGAAGGGCGTTTTGTGGCCCTTGCGGGAAGCAATGAACGATTCCATCCGCAGTGTTTCAGCTGCTATACTTGTGGTACTAACCTACAGGCGATGGAGATTAGCCATGAGCCTGATCACCTTCGTCAGGAGCGGCTTGATCGCATCAGACGTCGCGCGGCTGGTGAGATACTCGAAGAGGAGCCGGGCAAAACGATGGCCGAAGACGGAGATGAGCGTCTACGGTTCTTTTGTCACCTCGATTGGCATGAGCTGTTCGCGCCGCGTTGCAAGCACTGTCAGACCCCTATTCTCGGTGAACACATAGTCGCTCTTGGAGCTCACTGGCATTACGGTCACTTCTTCTGTGCCGAATGTGGTGACCCATTCGAACATGGCATGACGCACATTGAGAAGGATGGTTATGCGTGGTGCATCAACTGCCAGACGAAGCGCACCGAACGTCGAGCTCCAAAGTGCAGGAAATGCCGTACAGCTGTCATCGGACAGTATATCCAAGCGCTAGGCGGAGAGTGGCATGAGCATTGCTTCCGATGCGCCGAGTGTCAGGGCGGTTTCGACGACGGCCAAATCTTCACTAAGCATGTGCCCGAAGGCACTATCGTGCTCTGTACTGGATGCCGAGCTATGGAACTCAAAGCGTAATGATGATGATGTGTGTGATTTCGGCGTGCGTGTTTTGATTTCTGCATGCGTTTCTTTCGTGGTTGGTCTGTTTCCCTTCGGGTTTGCCGGTCAGCATATGATTTGTTTTGTGCTTCTGATTTGGTCTTCATGAGTGCTTCCAGGGGAGCGGCGCACTCAGCGCTCAACTTGATCATGTAGATTGTCTCATTGGAACATCTTGGCCATAAGGCAAAATATACACGGCGCGAACTGTGAGTCCGTGATTTCGACTCTAAATGGCCAACACAAGATTCGGTTCCGTCTACTTCTTACGTATCAAGTTATTTCCCCCATATCTGTGTGATCCTGACGCATTGTTGTTTTGTAAACGCTACCTTAAGAGCGAGATTGGACGGGGCGTATTCTCAATGAGGCCAAAACACACAGGTCGTTCGTACCTCTGCTGCGGAAGAGAAAAGAAAACCATACAATTTACCACACAAGTCACAGCAGGGATGGAGGGATACTGGGTTGATTGGGTTGATTGGGTAGTGTTTTGTCTGTCGTAAATCATTCGTCGACTTGTTGTTTCAGTCTTCCTCTCGTCTGATGTACGCAAAGCCAAAAGTACAACCAGGTTTAATCGAAATCCAGTTCAAGAACATCATTCGTGTGTGTTCATCTCTTTTGGGATCTTCTTCCTGGTAATTCTTCCTCGAAATTCCCCCTCTCTATTACTGTGCAGATCCGCCCACCTGCTCCTGATGGACCTCGAGGGTATCGCCATCCTGCATCTCGAGCTGTGTGATGTAACTTGTCAGCATGTGTGGTCTCTCCGGAGAGTTTGCAGTAGGGTGCGATTTGAACATAGATATCAAAAGTCCGTGTCTACAATAGAAAAGCGAAAACGTACCGCATCGGGCGTATCGGTGGGTTGGACTCGCGTGCCGTCGAAAAGAAACCGCACGGAGCTGGTCGCCTTTCCCTGGCGCTCGCAAAAAGCGCCCATAAGCTTCTCAAGCTTTGTAGTGCGCTTGATCTTGAAGAAGACCTCGTTGTTGTTGTCGGTGACCTTGATGTTGAGGTGCTCCGAGTTGGCGGGTGCCTGCTCGCCAGGAGTTCCGTTTTCGTTCTCGTTGGACATTTTGAATTAGTCTGGATGGAATCTATGCACTTAGTACGAAACAATGTCAGCGCGTGGCTCGAGATGAAGTGCAGGAGTGAAAGTGTGGCAAGATATCGCAATAATCAGAATATTACCTTAGCACGATGGTCGTTGATGTCAAGTTGGGCAAGTGGGGGTGATGATCGCGTTATGCGCGTTTGGCCGGCGAGACGTAGAGCGGCGAGCTGCGAGCGTGTTGAAGAAGAAGTTAAGATCGGGCGGCCAAAGTGTGTGTGCGAGGGAAAAAAGGATGATCAGGTTTGTTGTTGGTGGGAGGTATAAAAGACTATGGTGGGTGATGAGCCTACTAAGATAGACGGATAGAAGGCAACCAGCCTTAAACTTACCTACTGAGGTCAGTTGCCTCTCGCGCTTCGTTCAACACTCACTTGAACGTCAAGCGGGCGAAAGAGCCCAACTTTGGGCGTGTAGGTGGGGGCCGAGAGACGAATGACTGTCTTTGATTGGCTATCTACCGCTTTAGTCGAACCCCCTGTACTCCTCATACCCTATACCCAAATGTAGCGTTAATTGGTTGCTGGAAGCTCAGTATACTCATCACAAACCTATTTAACTGTTGGAGTTTTACGCAGCCAAAATGTTCCAATTCTTAGTTATAGAACTTAAGTAGTATTGCAGATATTACAATAATGGATGTATTAATTCTAGCCAGACAGGCTGATACCACTTTCCAGATGACTGTAGTAACTACATACCCTAAGTACCTTGCCTATATGTACTTACCTACCTTACCTATCAGGCTGCACGTTGGAACACCTACGGTGTAAAGAAACGTGTTTCTCCTCTACCTACCTACTCAGTAGGTTAGTAGGTAGGTAGCCAAAAGTGGCTACCTAGCTACTCAGGTAAGGAAGCATGACATCAGTCTTGTCTATCTGATCCACATTCATATCTCCCCTTCTTCTACCACAGACCAACATTTGTTATTATTACACGAGAGGCAAGACATCTGCGTAAACATCTATATTATCACAATTCGTATGCCTATTCGATATTCACTTGGTGCTACGTTGATCCGCAAAACCACCACATACTGCAAATTATTATATTATACACGACCATGGTTCGTCTCGCGATAAATGACAGAGTAAAACGCTTGGGAGAAGCTAATATATAACTATAGGCTCTGAAAGATGATGTCGAGGCCAAGCCTGCTTGTCACCCACGTGCAGTAAGTTCCAAAACCAAAGATATTCGAGTGATCGCTGTGACCTGACACGTGTGCAGTGTGCAATTCAAAGTATTTCCTCCAGACACGAGAACAAAAGATGGAGACAAAATGCTGACCCAAACACTACAAGACTGTCTTACCAGCAATGGCTACAATGAGGCCAAATGCCGAACTGCAATCAAGCGACTTTACGAATGCTGTGAAGCATTCTACGAACGCTACGGCGAAGATGCGTCTACTGTGAGCTGCCCGAAGCCCAATCTGCTCAGGCTCAAAATGAAGCAACTCCGGGAGGAAGCTAAATGATATGTAACGCTCGTCTTTGGTGTGTCCGCCGGTTTGGGAAACGCTGGCAACTTGAATGATGAGCGCCGAATCTCTTCTAGGCGATCGTTGAGCACGCAAGAGGCCTCATGGACCTGAACAAGCATTGAAGGCCTGTTCCGAGACTCTAATACGAATGCCGATGACATTATGATAGAGAAGAAGAAAAGAAAATTTAATTTGCTGTTTGGTGGAGACGTACTTGAACTAGAACAGTGTCGAGTGCGAGTACTCTTCTAAATGTACTGTACGATACGCGCGCGTGCAATCGCGGCTGTTTTCTTTTTAGCGCAAAAGTCTGTAGCCTGCTCAAAAGGTAGTGCCTACTACTACCTACCTCGTCTACCTACTAATAGACTTACCTTATGTTATGGATTCATCATCCAATGAGAAACACTGACGAAAGAATAGTACGTACCGCTTAGCTAGCTCCAACCAGCGCGCGCCAGTGCAGCAGCAACCAAAACAATTCGTCCAGATTCTTTGATTCTCCTGCCTGAAGTATCAACCTGCACAAGCATCCTCAGCAAACTTCACTTGCATAATCCTTCCTTAACACTTACAAAAGCGATAAACGCGACAAAATACCCATCCCCATATTGGGCATGTTTACGGCCTTGATCGATCTCTACGTTTGACCCGTCGGCCGAAACCTGCCGAAAAGGGTTGCTTGCTCGTTCGCGCTGTGTACTAAACCATACATTCGACTTGACAATCCCCAAGACAGACCAACCTGAGTCACTGAAATGGCATCTGTCGAGGCCGAGAAATTCCTATCTTATGAAGCCGGGCCCGAGGTCGAAGAGTTCGCCAACGCGCTCGACGACTGTCTCTCCCCTCCCCTCTCAAACGAAGAACGACGAGAACGAATTTTAGACCTACCTAGAAAATACTACGAGAATGCCCTTCGACGCCTAGCACAGGTTCGACCGCGCATGATGCGCAATGGACAAGACGATGTCGATATGGATGCAGACGACGATGTTGCTAATAGCAACCCTGCCTCAGCAGAGCTTGTCAAACGTCTCGAGAGGGAAGCGCAAACATGGGATCTATTACGCAGGCTCCTTCCACTGAGATATACTAGTTCTGATAACAGGCAGAGCGCTTCCAAAACCGAGCACAGCTCCGTGGATTCAGGAGACCTGTTCAAGAGTTTCCTCGCTAGTGATTCATCAGCGCGCGAACGACAAGCAGTCATACAATGGCTTCAGAGCAATGCTTCTTCAGGACCGGATATCGACGAGCTTGCGCATGAACTCCAGCAAAACGCCGACCGTGGAGATATCATCGCTCACGGCTGGCTTCACACTCGCTCCTCAATCAAGCTTCGGAAGAGCGTAACAGCCTGGCCTCATCTTCTGGATCGCCAGTCACCAGCTATTGCGACCTCATTTCACACCTCAGATGGCTCACCTCTGGTGACACAGCTGGATCCAGACGCTGCGACTCGTCAGGGACGAAAACTTGAACCGCAAGATGAGTATTTTGAGCGTGCCATTTGGTTGGGTTGCTGGGAACACCTCCGCCGAGGATCAAGCTTGGACACTATCCGTGAATGGTGCCAAGAACGAACCGAAATGTGGCGGGCTATTTCGACCTCTGCGATACTTCTTTCAGCCGACGACAGCCAGGAAGTGACCGATACTAAACCAGCATCACTTGCTCTGTGGCGACGAATGTGCTTCAGCTTGTCTCGATCTGGTGGCTGTGATGACTATGAGCGTGCGGTATATGGTGTCCTATCAGGAGACATCCCGAGCGTCGAGAAAGTTGCCCTGAACTGGGATGATTTTCTTTTCGCGAACTACAATGCATTGCTACGCACACAGCTTGACAACTACATACTTGGACAATGTCCAGCCGACGTTGCTTCAAACCTCACACAATCCTTTCCTTCATTTGACGCTGTTCAATTTCACGGTGAGCCAAGAACAGTTGACATGCGTCTGATCCGAGCTCTGGAAGCCAACCCTCAGATCAAAGACGAAGCGAACGAACCCAATAAGGCGTTGCAGGCATCATTAATTTCCAAGGAAATTGGTCAACATCTTTATCAGCAGGGCTTGATCATTTCTTCTGGCGCAAATCAAAACGAGTCAACACTCTACAGATCAAAGCCTAGTAAGCTTGAGGTAAATAAGGAGAGGTTCTTCCAGTCTACGCAGCACTACGGCCTGCGGATCGTCGCACATATCTATCTCCTCATCAACCTCATGGATAAGCTGAACTCGAAGGACGATTCTCTCGCCCCTGCCTTTTCTCCTCCTGAAATGAGACGTTCCCAACAGAACCTCATTGCCGGGTACGCGAATTATCTTCGCCTTGCCGAGTTTCATGAGTTAATACCTCTTTACTGTTCGATTTTGGAGCCCCCTCGGTCATATGAAGTGCTTAGCTACAACCTCATTCACGAAAATGAGGCGAGCCGACGTTTACTACAACTCAGACTTATTCGGAAAGCTGGCATCGACGTGCTGGGGTTTGTCAAGACTCAGGCATGGCTTCTGTTCAATGATTTGGGTCCGGCGCAGCATGGATGTCCTGCCAAGGAAGGATTTAGTATCATTGAGCCTGGCCCACCTACTTCACGCAGCGGTCGTCCTGTGAGACCCGATTTCTTTGGTGATGATGAAAGATTCGTTGATCAGGCACATGAGAACCTCATCCGATCACTAGAGTGGCTGGTACTGGTGCAAGAAACATGGCCCAACGTGTTGTCTATGGGGACCAAAATCTACAAATTCTTTTTGCGTGAGTTATTCTGCTTTAAGCAGTCGGTCAAAAACTGACAACGCCACAGGCAATATGCACCTCAGCGCTGCTCGCCAGCTGATGAAGCGAGTTCCATTTTCAGAGGTACTTCATGCAGCTACGGAAGAAAGCGGCGATGAGATGGAGTTATACGAAGACATTCCCGAGTTTTGGGCTAGACAACTTGATCGGAGAGGTATTCGTGATGTGACACCGCAACAAGCACTCTCAGATGCCCGAAATTTCCGCGAACTAGAGAATCTGGTGCGAGCCCTGGATAGCTTGGAGACAGTCGCGTCGTTAGCCGAGCTTACAAATGAGTACGCAAAAAATGAAAACGCTGGAGCAGGCACGGCCATGATGTTAACGAGATACAGGGACCAGAAGAAGAAGCGAGAGTTCTGGAATGCTATTGGTGATGAAGTCAAGAACACAAAAGAAAACATGCAGCCTCTTCTCAAGAACTGGCTCCTGGTGGGCATCGAGGGTAAGTGAGCCCCTATCATCAGGCCATATCTCAGTGCTGACACACGAATTAGAAGGTGATCAAGAACTACGAGATCTCCGTCAGGCCTATCTCCCCGAAACAGTTCTAGCATACGTTGGCACGCTGCACTTTGCTGGCACTGGCTTGTCTCGAGACAACCTCCTCGAGTGTATGGAGCTTGCTTCCATCATTGCAGAGCGCGACTCAGATCTGTCGGTTGCATTCTCAGAAGCTGGAAGAATGAAGGAGCTGGTGGAAGTCTTTGCTGCCAGCAGCAAGGCATTGGCCATCAGCACTGGTGAAAAGAGAACCGCGAGCACTGGCAGCAAGAAGCTGCGAGAGATGGGTTGGTCCCGGGATCTGTGGTCTGTCAAGCCATGAAAGAGTTCCTTCCATTCTGTCACCACTCGTATCTGTTGACTGATTGTCGAGTTGTTATTTCGTTATCTGGGCGTCGACTTCCCAGAAGTACCCATGGATCTATCATTTTCATTTGGTGAAGCCGGGCATGAATTGTAAAACATTAGGGGTGGGAGTCGGAATCAGTACATAAGAGGAACCGAGCCAATGAAGAAACATTCCAGATCTCAATAAGTTGATCGAGTTAATGAGAACAGAAAACTCAGATGATAAGACGAAGTATTTATGTTGCAATATTCCACTTTCTTTCGTGCACTGATTATTCCGAGATTGATAATACCCGAAACGTGGGGGGGCTAGGCCTATGACACAATCTGTAAGAAGCTCCCCACTTCAGACCTGCATCTTCCAACTCCAACTCAACGTGAAGTTTACCTATCTTACCTAAGGTAACTCCTTATTGCATTTACTCCTAACTATTTCCCAATACCTTAGCAAAGAGCGCACCGGGGCGACAACTGCAATGGCAAGCTTCGCAGCTGATATGCAGGGCGCAACTCCTCCTGTTCTTCCTCCCAAGCCTGGCAGCCATGAGACGAGTCGCATTGCGACACCGACCTCATCAGGCGTGCCTCCACCATCCGAAGGCCGCATCCCTCCCAACACTGTAAACCACGCGCCAGCATCAATTCCCGACCCAGGCGACCAATGGCTCCCTCAGATTCTACAGGAAAAGTCGTATGTGATACCCCAATCGCAAGAGTGCACTCCTAAATTATGTGGCAAGAAAACAAGACCTGGCTGAACTGCTTGGAAACCCAACTCTCCTCAACGCATTAACGCACTCTCCTGAATCCATTCACCCTTCCCTGCTTGTATCGCATCAAGCTCTATCCGCCGCGCTCAACGAAAACATCGAGCTAGCTGGCCAACTCACAGACATGGAAGCTCGGCTATCCCATCAGCGCGCATCGACACAGGCACAACTTCTCTCAACACACACTCTCGAGCGACAATGGCGCCAGAAGCAGTCTGACATGGATCACGCGCTAGCGCCTTTTTCACCAGCAGCTTTATACCAGCAGCTGGGACAGGGCGTCCAGGAGCAGGCATCGGTGTGCGAGGCTATGGAGGAGAGTTTCCTCGACGGAGAAGGAGAAGGAGTATCGGCGACGGAGAGGGAGGTTACTGATTGGGTACGTAAATACAGAGAGGCTAAAGTCCAGTACTATTTGAGGCAAGAGAGGAAAGAGAGATGGGACGAGGGACGTGTCGGTGGATGGAGATGAAGAGTTCGAGGCGTTTATACGGCATGGGCGTTGATGCATGACACTGTATTTTTGAACTTTCAGGTATCCGATCTTACCTGGTATAGATCACCAGCGCTTACGAGTTACGACACAGAATCATACGCTGAACATTTGCTTCGGCCCTGTAGACGCGTACCCCAGATTCGTCCTCTTTGAGGTCGGACATCGATTTATAACACGACAAACTGTTATATGCGATATAGCTGGGACGGATATGCCGTCGAATGCTTCCCACTTATAACCAACGCTCTCTTATCCAACACGGGTATCTATGTTATTGACTTTGAAAGCCGTACAAATTTGCTGATCCTCTTAATGGCGCCATGAGTAGTAAAAGAAAAAAAAAAAAAGCTCGCATCTCACCATCATAGCGCGCTGAAAGGACTCTTCTTCATATCCGGGCTGCGTGGACTCATGGGCAGAGCAAACAGATCGTCGTCGTCATCTCGCCGTAGAGGTCTGACAGGGGCTGAGGCAGCTGTAGCAACGTCGCCATGTAGTGCAGCATTAAGCGATATGGGACCTGTAGATGCGTTGCTGGCCATGGCCTCATGGGACGACACAGCAATATCACGCCCTCTGGGTTGAAACGGATGAGATTGGCTAATGGGGCTCATGAAGGTGTTCGCTTTTGGGAGAAGTTAGCTTATGCATAGGGACTGGAGCTATGGATCTCAAATACCTGTCGTGCTCGGTGTTAAATCAGCAGGTGATGTGGCCAGCTTGAGACCTTTGAGCTTGTCCCCCAAACGGCCCGTAGGTGAACGAGTGGCTACAGGACGAGGCATGGAGTCACTGGGAAGTTGCGGCGTGTTGATGAAGGTGTCGAGAATCCACTGCCTCTCGGCGAGGGCCATCTCAACACCCACTCCCTCAGCATTATTGCGAAGCTCGGCGGCTACCTCCCGATCTATGGCTGCCAGGCGTTGGCGAGCCCATAGTGTGTGCAGGACTCCCCGATTGCCTGGATCAGCGGCAAGGCCTGGTGGGAAGATGGCCGGAAGCGGTTTGAGGGTCAGACTGGGTGAGCCAGGTGGCGTGATAGTGATCGTCGAGGGGACCGTGGCATCAGCGGGGAGCAGGAAGAATACACGGCGACGACGTTGACGAGATGAAGACGCAGGAGCAGTGCCTGCCCCAGAGTCTGGCTCAAGATCAGCAGCAGGGAGGTTAGTAGATTTCCCCGGCCACGACACTTGCCAACATGTTCTGTTGATGCTGTCCACCGGAGCAGAAGCCGGAGCCGGCTCCGTTGCGGAGATGCGATCGGCAGCCGAAGCAGATTGTTCACCGGAGGTGTCGGCAGGACGATTGGCAGATGCAGCGGGGCCCCGGACGGCATCGGGATACCACTCCACCATCAGAACCTTTGTACCAGCATCGCTGAACTCGAAGCGGGCTAGGTGCTGAGCCTCCACAGAAGGGACGATAGGGGCTTCACCGACAACGGCAGATGTAGATGGGACTCCAGGCCGAGAAAAGCCCGAAAACGGGTCAGTCGTCATGGCTTAGGGCGACTTGCTCGTTATGGGGAAAGCGAGAAGGTCACAAAGAAGAAATGATATTAAGCTCCAGGATAAACGCTGCTGAACAGCGGCTCCGAATTCGAGCGGTAGAGTATGGGGATGGAGATGGAGATGGGGGTTGAGAAGGCGGAGAAGGGGTCGAAATCTGGGCACTTTTGATACTAGCCCGATGGCTTTGTTTCGACTTCGTTCTAGTCTCGCTATGTGCTCTGTCTCTCTGCAACTGACTTCGGCTGGGTTATTGCTGTCTTCTCGGCGACTTGCGCCTTTGCGTTTTTTTCAGGGTCCCGCTCCTTCTCGGACCGAGACGAGGTTATTTCGGTGAATAAGGTATCAGAGAATTTAGGTATATTGGTTTAGTGAGGTACGGGAAGGAGGCACCGGACACATTCCGCAATGCAGCCGGAACTGTGTCGGGAGCTATGTCAAAATGAGTTGACTCTGAACGTCTCTGGTGAGGGTAGGCGACGAGTCAGAGGGGAGGGGACGGCGGTGGCGGTAGGTAGTGGCGGGGGAGTTGCCAGTTTCAGGACATTGACAGAAGACGGAACATTGGGTTGAACACGAGATGAGATGGAACATGACATGACATGGTTGTCAGCTTCTAGTTTTTGAGCGTTTATTACATTATTAGAGAGGAGAAGTTTGAGGGGGAAAAGAAGTGGACTGAACGCGGGATGGGACGGAATGGCCTTGGGGAAATGCTGTGGACGCGTCTACCTACCTCCATTCAACATTTAGGTAGTAGTCATATCTACAGCGCAGTAATGGCGGCGGATTGCACGGAAGGGGAAGCTGTTTCAGAGACAAGGATAGACGATCCAATCATTCCGGTGAAGTACTCGATAAGAACCTGTTTATTGGAAATGGAAGCAAGATAGAACACCTAGAGAAGCGCATCCATACCTTGGGTAGGTAGGTACCGCACCTTAACTCATCAGTAACCTTACCAGTTAGGGTGCTAGGTAAGGCAAGGCAAGGCAAGGTAAGGTAGCAGAGAGTTCCTTCATCACTTGACCATCTAAGAAGGGTTCCTAGCGTCTAAGAGCTGGCGGGAGTAGGAAAAAAAAATACAGATTGGCTTTTACCCAGCCTCAAACCAAAATCGGTCTTGTATTTTCGTCTCCCAACTTAAGGTATCATCTACAACAGGCTGTCGAGTATTAGAGTAGGTTAGTACATTAACATGTGCTGACTGAGGCAGTGCTGACTGTCCGGGCCTGGTCCCTTGTCTAGGTACCCCTGGCCGTGCTTTGACTAGGTACTTGCTAGGCTGGGCTGGAGTTTATCGGTATTATCGGGACGAAAGCCATTTCTTATCGGCCGATTGCGTGACTGAATTGAGACCAGAGTGATTTAGAGTCACGAACATATGTCGTCAATAATAACAGCATCTACTGTACAGCCTGAGAATCAAGCCTTTTAACATGTGCTGCTGTTCTCTACCAGACATACTAGTGTAACCAAGTGCCTTTGTAAGTATGAGATCGGTGATCCCAAGTTAGTATCCCTTGGCTCTAAGTTACTTGTGCGCATTGCGTACCTTGCATTTAAGTATTTATCTATTTTTTTCTCTCTTTTTTTTATTTTTTTTTTTTTATTTTTTTTTTTAAAAAATAAAAATAAAAAAAAAATCTCTCGAGTCAACGCAAAGGTTCACTACAAGAGAAGTTTACTGAGATGTCAATCGAGTAGAGGAAACGTTACAGGATCTCATGCCAATGCGGTATCGTCCCAAAAACAAGGCTCTTCTATCGACGTCTCTGTCTATTCCACGACCTGCCGTAGTCTCCAGCTATAATAACTCTACCCCAAGACATACTGATAGCATAGGTATTGATCCCCTGTACTCATAGCAATGTCTTGCTTTTCTTCAAGTCGCCAACCAACCAGAACTAAGTTGATTCTCAAGATCGGCGTCAACGAGACACTGGATATCGAGCTTGTCACGGATGGGGCCAGTCCTTCCCAGAACCACCGCAGTAAGGCCGCGACTAATAGGAACACGCCCCCTCTCAAACCCAACGTAGGTTGGGTGTCTCGGGTCCGTTCAGCTGGTCCTCGCATCTACAACCATATTCAGACAACCCCAATTATTTAACTCTCCATTACTCGTGAGATTGCTGAGATTCAAATCTACTATTTTGACGTTGTGTAAGTGATATCAACCGTGTTGATAACATCACTGATATGGTATATATGATAATGAATGTTGGTCGTACGATTTGTATTGTCACGTAAAAGCTCACTCACGACGATAGCTCAATGGCATTCAACTGACTGGACCGGAAGTCTCTCGTGACGTGGAGAAATGAATCACACATCCACTGGCTCCGTCATCATCAATAGCCATACCTGTCTTGTTGCATCTAAACGGGAATTGGCTCAAAAACAGTTGAGAGTCTCCAGAGTTGCTCGAGACATGCATATATACTACATTGCAACATGTTGGGATATTTCATTTCAAGTCGGATAAGTACAGTACATCCATTATTGTGAAGGCTTGTATATGGACAATGCTAAGAGAGCGTCGAGCCACCTGTATCAAGCGAACCCCTCGGGCCACGCGATTCGCACGGCAAAAGCACTCGCCCGTTCGGTCTCGAGCTCTTCCATAGAACTCACCTCACTTCGCCTTTTATTAACTACCGTATGCAGCTCTCGGCCGGAGAGAGGGTCCTCGGCTTGACTCTGTTACAGATGGATCCACGCAATTCCGGGGGCAGATATAGTTTATGGTCCAAGCTTTTCGGTGCCATTGCTCTCGTTCTGGGGGTGAGGTAAGGTAACTGTAGTTCCTTCGGGTGGTGTTCTCCATGAAATCGTAAAATCATTCTAGGTCTCGTGAGTCGATATCTATGGGTCTGACATATTCGATACGCTATTTCCTCACTTGGTGCATCTCATACAAAAAAGTTGTTAATGACAAGCCGGCGGAAGGCAGTTTCGGGTGCATTAGCAAAATATGAAGTTTGTATGAGCTTTGAAGATAACTCAAGCATCACACTATGGAAAACCTATGACGAGGACTTCGATATCAGATCCATCATTGTCGTTACCACTGTGTAGCGTATTCAGGATATTTGGTATCTTATCCAGCTCATTGAAGGTTCCGACCGTCCATCTGAAAGTTTTAGTTATCGGACCTCCATTCGGTGAAGGACTCGGCCGGCACTTGGATAAGTAGGCTATACGGATGCCATCCAATTCGCTCCGACCCGGGCTGTCTCATTGCTTGATCATTCGACCGAATGTTAATGAAGATAATACTATGTAAACATAAGACCAGGAAGAATAAAAAACAAGAGGGTACACCCATTCAGAAAAAGTCTGCCTAAAGTCTGCAAAGGCCCAGTCTATCTTGGCCGGCTAAATGCAATCCCTGAAGAATAGACCGAGATATCAACGGGTGGCGGATCCGGTGAAGACCCGGAGAAAAGCCAGTTTCAAGGTACCTAGATACCAGGTAAGCCAAGGGCCAAGACAAACCTAGGCACTTAATGAGAACGCTCCAGCCCAAGCCTCAAAAAGAAAAAAAGAGAGAGAGATCCATGGCAGGAGGAGAAAAATCTCACCAGGGGTCATTTTCTAAGCTGCCATCTCTGTTTCCCAACGTATCTGTTAGGCCAAGTAAATGGTATTTCCCGTGCGGCTGGCCAGTTAATGGGATTGCGAATAGCTTTTAGTTAAAACTCAAAAACAGCCAAAACAGGCGCTGTAACGTTGTTTTGATAGAGCTTCGGGAACAATCAACGGGAAAGCCATATACGCAACGCATCTGAACCGCAATGCACCACACAGGAGGCACATGTCCCAGACGCTGCATGGCATGGATCGGATGGGAAGATAGAGTAGGGCCGGCCAATTGGGCCGAGTCGGGAATTTCATTGACGATCATGGGGGATCAAGAAAGCAATCTCACACTGTGCGTCACTCGTAAAAGTGAGGATAGGCGCTCGTGGAAGCACCTCGCGTGTACCGTGCAATAACTGTACACTGCTGTGCACCGGCGTTTTTCTGGAGCGTTGCAGTGGAGGGCAGATGCATCACCAACGTCAGCTGGTCACTAAAAGTACCTGAGGACCACTGGCAATTCAGGGCCAGAGGAATGCTAATGCTAATGGAAACTGCTGTTGTTTAGGTTGTGGGGAGATTTGCGCAAGGCAGTGGAGAGGTTTCCACGGGCTCCATCGTCATTCTGGGTCTGGGGCTTTTCTTCTCTGCTGCCCAGATTTCCTCTCCAGGAAGTCCAAAGCACCGGGGAGATTCGCTCACGCGGTTTCTCCAGACTGGAGTACACCCACGCGTTATGTTAAAAAAGGGGCCCCAATGTCCCCCCACAGCTGCCATGGAGTGTCCTCTCCACAGTTTGGCCGGCCAAACGCCGCTTGAGGCGAACCAAACGCTTGCCTTTTTGGCACCTTGGGCGGCCATGAGGTGCGCTAGATGTCCCAATTGTCACTGTGATGTGCTGTATTGACCTAAACAAATGGGCAGTCAATCAAAGAACACCCCACCATAATAAACGGTCGGTCCGTTCCCCCCCTCGTCAGTCAATACCTTTTCAATGGGATGGTTTGGTGCTGGCCAAATCCTTCATTTCGTTTTATAGTTGTCTTTACGGGCGACAAGATCTTCAATTCTATTCTATTTTGGCTCATTCTTTTCATATCAGCCCAGCCGATCGGTGCACTTACACTTGGCGATATGGGATGTACCTTATCAGTCAATCATCTAAACCTTCCCAAGTCTACCTACCCGGGTAATACCCAGAACGGGAAGTATCCAGATAGTTGGGACATTCACAACCAACCCAGCTTTTCTTTTTGAACAATCGCCTCGACATGGGATAATATAGTTCAGTCCTCAACACGAACCACTAGGCCTCCGGCCAGTAAATCTTGATTTTCATTCAGTAGGTACCTATCATATGCAGTGGTTCACTCTTGCCGTTCGTCCCAATTCAAGATAGCACCTGTCTCTACAGAGAATCATTATCGTCCCGTCTGTGGAGTCGCGACCCATTTAACTTCACACCTCTTGCTGCGAAAAAAAACGCTCCACCTCACACCCCCTCCACGTCGTTCCATTCTCCCCCGGATTTGTACCGTACGTACCCAAGTATCCTTGTACCTTGAAGTCCCCTTCCTTCTACAGCCCAGCTAGTCATCACTACGCTCTCTCGCTCTTTCCTTGTACCATTACCCTTCCCACTTTCCCGTTTATCCCGCGCAGTTCATTCTGTCCGAACCAACACGAAACACCACAAACTCGCCTTTCACGATATCGATCGACTGCTTCCCCTTCGTCTTTCTTATTACCAGCCTTTTCTTTTGACGTCTGGCCCCCGAACTCGATTTACCTGTGCCTCCGGATCTCCGGTCCGTAGTTTTCGGCGTTCCCGATCGCTCCGTCTCGCCAAATCGCTCTTCCTCTCGCCATGTCGAGTATATTCTCATTCAGTGCGCAATAGAGACGGACGTCTGTAGCCATTTAGGCCTGCTCAGCAAAGGCGACACCGTCTTTTCTAACACGTCGCGGCCCTTGCGCCCTCTCGTCGATAGCGTCGAACGTCGCTCGTTTTCTCTTCGACGCCCGTCATCATGGCTCATCATCAAGCGCGGACGATGGCTATGGATCCGCCACATATCACCGAATTTGCTTCTGAGCGTTACTTCGAAAAGTTAAGCCAGCTCAATGCACACCAACATCAGCGTCAACCTCCTCCGACTCGAGATAATCTTGATGCTTCCACCTCGTCGCCTTCGAGATTTATTCTTCCTCTACGAGAAACGAAAACCGCCGATGTTGAACCTCTAAGGCCCCTTGACCAGAAGCGTGATAAGTCAAGGTTTTTCGGCCTTCGCTCAAAGGTCTCGATCCTCCACTCTAAATCGAGTGTCGCGTCTGGTCATGCGCCTCGAGTTTCTGTTGAGACGCCGCAAAAAAGGTAATGCTCTTTTGGCTGAATATTAATCCTTTCACTTTACTGACCTGTGAGATAGTGCTAGCTTCGATCAGCTTTTCCTAGGACTTCCCAACGAATTACAGATTCAAATCATTTCTGCCCTCCCACTAACCGACGTCCTGAACCTCCGACTTGCCTCCAAATCGTGGCATACTCTCGTCACTTTCAACGAAAATACTATCGCTCGATATCATCTCGAACATCATATTCCCGTTTACGCCTCCCGCCTCTACCCCATCACAGACCCGAGCGAGATCAACTTCCAACATCTATGCGGGATATGGCATCGATTACACGTCGCTGCCAAGCTCGCCTTTCTAATGTGTGAATGGATTACAAAAGATATCTTTCTTCGCCAAACTGAAGCTCAACGACTTGCATTTGCACCCCAGAACGAGCGCATGCGACGACGCCTAATACCTCTTCTATTTACCATATTCCACTTCTTCGAGACGTACCGGAAATTGTACCTAAAGCGTATGGCTGAGAACGGAGGAAAAGGATTGAGACGGGAACCTTATACTTTGAACCCCATTGAAGCCGAAATCATGAGTATGTACGACGACCAAACCTTATTAAGGGTTCACGAAGTCTTTCCCCTTGTAATATCATCGTTCTGTCGGAGACTCCGACCACCGACATATGTTGGTAGAGTCGAGCGATCACTTCGTGGTTATATTCGGGAGAAACCGTCCGACGACATGCATGTTGCCATTTTGTGCATTGGTGGACTGCGACAAGTGGAAAGGCTTTGGGAAATCAAGGGATACAACAGCAGGCGTGGTGCTGTTGACACATGGTTTAATGCTCTCACGAAAGAGGCGCCACCTACTGAACAGTCAACATCGAAACCGAAACGAGGTCTTTTCGGACGCAAAAAGTCCACTAGTGAAGCTCGATCGTCTGGTACTGCATTGAACAAGGTCCGGAGTTCTGGCTCAATAGATGGGAACATGGATTGGGAAGCCAATCTTGTCTTCAACACGAGTTTATCTGCTGGGGCTCCCATGTCACCTCTTACTTCGCAACAGGCTCAGGCATTACTCAGCGACCTTCCCGTACTGCAACAAATATGGCTCACAACAGCTGAGGCCCTGATCCTTCAGCGTCGGGTTGTCGAGCGTCCACAGGATATCAAACGCAACCAACAGGTCATGCTGGATTTGATCAGTGAAGATGGACTTGTAGAAGAGGACGAATGGTGGTACGGCCGCAGCATTCCCGATTCTGTGCGGCCTCCCGTCGGTGTCACTGATGACGATGCGGATTAAACGGCACCAGTTTCACTATATCTTAGGCATTCTTCGTTTGTTATGTTGCTGTTGGCGAGCGTGTTGAGAAGTTATACCATTACTTCTACTTGTCGTTTTACCTGGGTACATGCATGTGTCAAAGAACGGGTTCTTGAGCATTTAAACGGCGTTTTTATCGGTTGCGGAGAAAAGGGCTACTGCGTTGCCGAAGGTGGTACTGGATGGGAACACTGGCTATACATATTGATACCGACTGTCTATACGACATTATATTTTCATTTATATTTCACCACTTTCCTATCAACTTAAGATCGAAGCCGAGTGTCTCAAACCCTCAAAGGGCTCTTGTTTCCCTGAATAGTGAAAAGGACGTCCCCATCCACTGTTTGCACTAGCCTCATAGGGTCAAGTTGGCGTGGCTCTTTATTCATTTGGATAGCAGTATATTTATTATCCTAAGAAGCCTCTACTTTGATAGGAGGTGGGAAGCTTATTCTTAAATCTACTAAAACTGAAAGGATACGATGATCTGAGCATCAGACCACCAGTCTGTTTAGTTTGGGTTTGGCTTTCTGTGTGATCTTGCCTATAAGTGATATACAATCCATGAACACACACACACAATGACTTAGCCAAGCCGGAAACCCAGCCTTTCCTCTAATGATGCCTCTCTGCTACTTAAAGACACATGTTTTCTTTGCTTAGTATCCACACAAGTGATACTCACGTTACGTTCGCCCTCTTGTGCAAACATTCCGGTGTCCCTGTCATGATTTGTAGGGCGTGAATACTTGAGCCGTCCTGCAGCCCAAGAGCAGAAAAGGTCCGATCACATGGAATCAGCCGATTTGGACCACCCACCTCTGCTCCTTGATATCTTCTGATATTCTCGCTATCTCTTCATGGTGTAAAATACTCGACTACGAATGTGAATTTCGGCCAGTGTATTGTCAAAGCATGGATCGCTTCTGAGTTGCTTCGCTGTGCCAGAGTTGCTGTGATAGTCCGTTCGGACGTAGCTCTGTCTATTAAAGCTGGGAGCTTAAGACATGTCTGCCACAGGCGCTGATACAGTTTTACAAGGCTTGGGAGGTGTTTTGTCCATACTTGCGATTGGTGCTGACTCTTCTAAGTGGTGATGCGACTCAGAATGGTCCATGTTTGGTAAGGGTGTTGTCCCAGTTGAACGACGGAGACCTTGTTGCCCGTGTTGAGGAACCAGGGGTCGGCTGTCAAGCCTTTGAGCTTGCCGAGGAGAGCTTGAGCGTGCTGTCTGGGAAAATGGGCCTGCAGCGGAATGACCTAATTGATTCGACAACTGTCGTTGCTGTCGTTGCTGCCGCTGGTACAAATCCACTACGGTTACTTCGCGGAGAACATCCTCCGGAGCCCCGAGGTCCCGGCTATGTGGCTGAGTATTCGTTGGAGAAGATAGACTCGTCGGTCGGATCGACTGTTCGGATCTCAAATCCTGTGGTGAATGATGCCGAGGTTGATGCTTGCGTTGAAGTTGGACGCCTTGATCTGCTTGGGTCTGGTAAGACTCATCAAATTGCTTGAGCCCTTGATCCTGCTGATACAAATGAGATGAGCTTTGTGGCACTTGCTGGCTCAAACTATCTCCAAGCCCAATTGCCTGTACCCCGGAGGCGAATATGCCTGATATAGACAATGTGTGTCTGGTAGTGGCACTTGAACGAAAAGCTATAGCCTCTGCATCGGCCGATTGCGAATATCTTTCGCTAGTGCCAAGGTTTCTTGGATTTGTCTCCTGAGACACACAAAGACGCTTGACTTGTTTCTCGTGAGGATGATTGGTGGCTAATTGCGCGGTCCTGGGGGATGTTTGGGGGGTATCGATCACTCGAGTGTTGGTACAGGGACCTTGTTGTGAATTCTTTCTCTTCTTTGAAGAAACTAGGGCAGCGTCCTGGTGGTGGCTGGGTGGCCCCTGAAGTTCCTGTATGATAACGGAACGGCCACCGGCTGTTCGTGCTTTGTTCACCTGCGTGCAACCAGGCGAGCCAGTTGCGCCACCTTGCATTGTGCTGGCCGCTTCTTCAGCAGGATCGGGCAATACTGGGAAAGAAAAGGTGTTTCGAAGAGCACTGGCTGTCTCGGTCACGTAGCTTGAATCAGGCGTGGATATTAGGGAGTTATACATGTTTTCCCTCGTGGTTGGCTCATGAGATTGAGGCCTTGACTCCCTAAGATGAGAGTCTGATGAGTTAAATGAGGAAGAAGCAGGCTTAGCAGGCAGTAGCCTGGGCTTGTTCCTTGATCCCTTAGGCCGACCACGAGGCCTTCCTGTACTCTTCGTGCGTCTTAACGTTGTAACCGAAGAATTTGGCACGACCAGTGCAGATGTGCTAGTTAATTCGGCGGGTGTAATCGATGGACCTGAGGTGCTTCTTCGGGCTTCCCCTGAAACATTTATCAATCTCGGCATAATTGAAGGAGCGGCAGCTATAGAAATTTGGCCCTTCATAACACGGGGAAGTAGCTTACTCGGGCTTTGGTTGTTAGAAGCACGTGATAGAGGCATATCTGAGCCTGGATTATTTGCAACAGAGTCTGGTGGTGCACCCGAGCATTTGACAAGTGTCGAAAGCTGCGTACCATTCGTTTCATCGGGCCTCATAGCCAGGGGAACGAAGGCAGTACGCTTAAGATGTAAATCTGCGTGTACTAGCTTTTTCGTACTCCCTTTTGGCCTACCTCGTGGTCTCCCTGTTGAGGGTTTCGATGGCCTTTTCGTAGTGCTGTTTTCAGCAAAATTTGGAGGGAAGATTTCCGAAATCCACGAAATAAAGAGATCGCCCGAGCTTTTCTTCGAGCCACTTTCAGAGGACCCCCCGTCAGGAGACGGGAGCCGCCGAGTGGCACCGCCGAACTGGGTAAGGGCACTGCAAAGCGTTTCTACGACTGTAGTCGGGTGCAGCTTTCGTAGGAGTTCAAGAAGTCGATATTGCTCTGCTCTGACCTCTTCCGGTGGAAGAATTGTTGCCAAGAGCTTCGTAATGGCAGGCTGTTCTCTGTTAGTCTCCTGTGTGGGATCTGCTGGTGTGGCAAATTCGTTCGACGGGTTCATGCTGACGTCCTGTGTCGAGTTCGCATCTATAAATGGACCGTCCTGTTGTTCATGGTTGACACCGGGTGCGACCTCTCCTTTAGTTGATTCTGCTAGAATTTCTGTTTCAATATTTTCCACACTGCCTGCTTCCATCAATGAATTCTCTTCAAGCCCTGTGCTGGCTTGTGCAGATCCCGTCTCTGCTCGCCGCTCTTCATATGGCATAACAGTCCTGAGGGGTGGAGGCTGAGCAACTGGCCCGTAAATGTCTGCAATTACTGAAGGGAGATTTGAGAGAGATTGTGAAGGAGTGCGAGCAGCCGCTGTGTGTGGTGGCCGCGGTCTCCTTGGATAGCGATACCCTTGAGCACTTGCAAGTTTGGCAGCAGCAGCAGTTCTTTCACTTGTACGCTTGGCCGCAAGGTCGCGCTCCGTTATCTGCGGCTTCTGGAGGCGCATATGCATAACACTGAAGTTACCTTGCTTCATGTTCGTCCTGCCCTTAAGCTTGCTTGGCACTGCGGTCCTGATACGACCATCGCGATATGGGTTAAGGCTGGCAGCCGGCACTTTGTCCTCTTGCGGTGGGCCAGGGCTAGACGAAACAGTTTTTCCATGATCCGGAGCATGGAATGGATTCATCTGGAGATCAAACAAGGCATTGCCTACTTGCCAATCCGACCCGGTGGCTCTTTGTCCAGGTGTCACGGCGCCTGTCGACGCTGTAGCGGACGAGGCACCGGGGCTTGGGCCTAGGGCATGAGCAGTGTCGGGAGTGAGGATAGTCGAATCGAGCACAATGGCGTGTTGAGGCGCTGTGCATTGCCTGTGAGCCTATGTATCTACTGCATTCGACGAATTGTTTTGAACAACACGTACGTACTTCTGAGGTCATGACGTCGGGATGAGGCTGGGTCATAATACGCTATTGACCTCAATAGCGATCTCACAGTGACCTTTTCGGGCAAAAGTCATTTGCGCCGGGATCATGCGACTTCGACGATGCGCAAGCCAATGGTTCTTATATCGAGGTTTGTGGTGCTGTCGCAGCTCGAATTCTGTGTTAGTGACTGGATTCACTTGCCCTGGTCTGCGCTGTACTTGTAGTCTGCAGCCCCGTGATCAAAGGTCGTCCAGTAGTGGGGACCCCATGAACATCAGATGCGGCGGCAGCTGCACTCAATAATTCGCGACCACATTTGTCTTCTTGTCTTGAACTAGACCTAGGTACTCTTTAGTACGATACGCGCTGGGTGGTGTTGATGGCGACCTTCGGGTCTTATATATATATAAATGATGCGATATATTAACTGGTTACTCTATGCCAGGGACGTACCTTCGAGCACCGTATGAGACTATCGAGGTGGGCAGCCACAAGCAGTCGTCATACCTAACTCACTAGCCACAGATCCACAACTGCCCCCTGATCCCAAAGGCAACTGCTACTCACCTTGCCTACCTAAGATATTCATGGAAGCTCCCACTGCCTTGTATTAGCTAGTGTAGTGCTAGCAACTCCAGCAACACTGTCTCGCCCTATAAACGCAACGTAACGCGATACGACCCAACCTCGCCCTCGCCCTCGCCCTCGTTCTCTCTGTTTCATCAGCAAGACTTCAACGGAGAGCCGTTTTCCGATGAACCTGTGAGCTTGACTCGCGATTAAAGCCATAGCTTTCACCGTGTGGAGCTGCCCGAGTTCTTCGCTGGCGTCACATTCATCAAACCGACAGCCTATCTTGTAGATATTCTCGACATAATTCATCCATCGAATATCTTGTAGCTCGAGCGTGCTATAATGTCGACGAAATACGCATTCCTATCTTTGCCCCAGGGCGTTTTTGACTCGAGCGATCGTGATGATGCCATATCATCACTGCGCGGGACCATCTCCTCCGACAATGGGTCCGTTCTGCCTTTCAACATCCCCGATTTCAAGATCGGCACTCTGGATGCCCTGGTGCAACAGGCAGATGAGCTTACCAAGCTCGAGGCGTCATGCCAGGCTGTTGTGTCCAAGGTCGCCGACTCTCTGAAGAATGTGCTCGAGGGTGACGAAGATCGTATCGCCCAGTATAAGATGGTCAACGATAGTCAGTCGCGTACACTTGTTTTGAGGCCGGATAGCCGCTAATCACTCACATCAGAACCCACTGATCAGTACGTGAGCACTTTCAGCTGGAACAAAATCCGATATCGAGCCGACAAGTCCCTTGCAGAGCTAATTAGCACTTTGCAAAAGGCGCGTTCATCCATCAACCTCAGTCCTAAGCTCCAACTAACATGTCCTCAGGAACTAGCCAACGTTGATACCGACGTTAAGACAAAGTTTAATCAGTATAACTCTGTCAAGACAAACCTTGCGGCTCTGCAGCGCCGCCAAACGTGAGTATTTGCCGCTGATCAAAATACCATCCTCAGATCATTGACAATCTTAATCAGCGGCAACCTTTCTACCAAGTCCTTGACCCCCATTGTCGACCCGAAACTTCTTGTGCAGGATTCTGAGTACATTGAGACACATCTCATTGTTGTTCCTGGCAATGCAAAGAAGGATTTCATTAAGGAGTATGAGACAATATCGCCCATGGTTGTGCCTCGCTCGGCTATCGAGGTGGCCAAGGACGACGAGTTTGTTCTCTTTGCTGTGGCGACATTTAAGAAACACAGCGCCGAATTCCTCGCCAAGTGCCGCGAACAGAAGTGGACGCCCCGTCAGTACAAGTACGTTGAAGGCGGTCGACAAGAAGAGCAAAGGGAGCTCGATCGAGTCACCAATGAAGAGCGCAAGGTTTGCGGCGAGGCTCTGCGTATGGGACGCACGGGATGGAGCGAAAGTGTCATGATCTGGATACATGTTATGACATTACGGGTTTTTGTTGAGGCAGTTCTTCGCTATGGTCTGCCTCTAGATTACGTATCGGTCCTAGTTAAGGTGAGTCTGTCGAATGCGTCCCAATTCACATCACTGATCAAATTCTCAGACTACATCCAAGCTGGCGCCCAAGGTCAAGGCTGCTCTGGACTCAAACTACTCGTTCCTTGGCGGCAATGCCTTTGGACGGGACAAGCGAGGCAAGATCACCAAGGACGACGCTGCGCTGAGCTCGGAGATGGCAGCCGCTGGGTTTCAGACTGGCGAGGGACACGAATACACGGCATACGTATACTACGAGATCGAGTTTCCTTAGCGATTGGCGCGGCTGGAAGGTTGGGGGAAAGGAAGACAAGCCGAGAAAGAAGAACGATAGAACAAGTCGCCTGCATGCAAGAAACGCCTATATTCTACCCTATCATTATGCCTATGAGTGACGACGGCCGGTGTCGCATGGCAGTAATATCCGATCTATCTCTTTTAACTGCGAAACAATCATGAATCTTGTGCCTATTTCTTGTTGAGATAACCCTTCTCATTGAGCCACTGAACAATCTGAGCAACACACTCCTCAACTGAGTTCTCGTGAGTCTTGATAGTGATCTCAGCGTTCTCAGGCTCCTCGTACGGAGCAGAAATGCCGGTGAAATCCTTGATCTCACCAGCGCGGGCCTTCTTGTAAAGACCCTTGGGATCACGCTGCTCGGCAACTTCGAGGGGCACATCAACGTAGACTTCGACGAAGGGGATTGGCTCATCGCCACCCTGTGTGGCCTGCTCGTGCAGATCACGGGCGACCTTGCGATCCGCTCGGTAGGGAGAGATAAAAGAGGTAATGGCGATGGTCGAAGAGTCGGCGAAGAGCTTGGCGACTTCGGAGATGCGGCGAATGTTCTCGTTTCGGTCAGCCTCGGAGAAGCCAAGGTCCTTGTTCAGTCCGAAGCGGACATTGTCGCCGTCGAGACGGTAGGCAGCGACGCCGAGGTGAAGGAGATGCTGCTCAAGCGCAGTGGCGACAGTGGACTTGCCAGAAGCAGAGAGACCAGTCAGCCAGATGGTGAGACCGCGCTGGCCACGGGTCTCGTTGCGCTCCTTGCGCGATAAGGAAGGGTGCCAGGTGATGTTGCTGTGAAGCGCGTCATTAGTTAGCGATGCCTCTGGTGTTGAAGTGGGATGTATAGCGATGGATGGCGGGGTAATGATTTAGAGACTTGGAGAGAAGGTTTGGAAGCCAGATAGGCACAGCGAGGGCAGGCAGTATACGAGATGAGTGGTTTGTTTTTGACTTACGTAGCCATTGTGCAAACAAGATATGTTGAGATAGGTATTAGACAGTGAAGAAAGGGAGGAAAAAAAAAAGTATTTAATGGGTGGAGGGTGAGTATGGCAGTCTATGTAGATACTAGGTAGAGTGCCAATCGACCTGAACCTACCTAATAATAGTGATTTCTGGCGCCAATTGCGACCTCCCCACGAACTGGGTGATAAAATTTTATACCATCTTTCTATACGTCTACATGATTCGCTCCAGGAACCTACCTATGTGATGTAGTAATTGCCCGCAACTTGCCCTCGAGATGTCGTGATCGGGCCATCGGGCGGCAGAAGCCACTGCTACAGACTCCCCGGAGATCCACCTTCATAAGACCGCAATCAGCCTATGAGAACTCATGTTGAGGATGGCGACATCAGAGGCCTTTCCCCATCCTATACAAGCCTATTCGTTAAGTGGCCGGCGCGGGTCCAGCGACTCCACGGCGTCCGTCCACTGCGCCGGAAGTCGGCCCTGTGAAGAGAAAAAAACAACCTCAGCTTTAAATGGAGAATTTGATATTATTTCTATGTGTAATACATGGCAGACAAATCGATAGGCCACGCTCCATCGAGTTTCCCAAAGGAAACGCTCTATGTGTAATTAGAATGTGTTCTTGTAAAATGCTCTGTCATCTATCATGTCACCTGCCGACTGCGAGGTTCCTCGTCTACCGCAACACAACCATATAAAATGCACCTGTCACTCCCGTCGCTCGCTCGAAAAAGTTGTCATAATGCGTGTCATCTGTTCGTTTAACCAATTTTAGGCATCATCTACAAGACGCATTAGAACATCTCTAGGATATCGGTATCACACGATATATATAACTTACCGCAGCATACTTTGGCGAGATGAACAGTGCTTGCGCTTCGGCCACTATCGTCGGCTTCTCGCCAGGCTCGGCCAGTAATTCGATATGGCCCCGAACCCAGGCCTTGCGGCCTTCCACCTTGTATGTCTCCGCTCGAAGAACCAGAAAGCTCCCCGCTGGTGTGGGTTTGCGATAGTCGACATTGAGGTTTGCTGTAACTGCGATGTTATGAGGCAGCGCGCCGAAGGAGCAACGCCCGAGACCCTCATCCAGCATAGTCGCCAGAAAGCCACCATGCACAATGCCAGGGTGGCCGCACAGGTCGTCACCGACGTATGCTATAGACACAAGTTGTTTGCCCTTGGGCGCCATCCAGGCGTACGGTGGTACTGGCATTTTCCCCTCGCCGATGAGCGCTCCTCCTGTCAGGCTCCGACTTCGGTATGATCCGGGCATTTTCATGTGCGGCCGCGATTCGGTGAGTTTGGGGTTGGCGCGGAGCTCTGCAACGAGCGGGTGTTTGTTGATCGTCTCTTCCACCATCTTCGCCTCTTCGTGGTTAGCGACGAAGCGTCGCAGGCTCTCTTCGTCCGAGTGAAAGCCCATGCCGTTCGAATGCATCGTGTACCATGTTCCAAAACCGCCTGCTGTGCTTGCGCCTACGCCAGCGAGCAACATACCTGCTGCTCTCTTGAAAGCGCCACCGGCGGCTGCTGCGGCTGCTACAAGTTAGATTTGTCAGTATATCTTACGGGTACAAGTGCTTTGAGGGGCGCAAACACACCTCCAGTCGCATAACTGCGGGACTGGGTAGGACGAGCAAACCGTTTGCAAGCTTGCGCTGCAAGACGTCCATTGTGACCAACTTGTTTGGAAAACATAGCAACTTTGTTGTTCTAGAAGGCGAACTCTGTCAACGAAACAAAGGCGAATGTAAAGACCAAAAAGTATTAAAAAAAAAAAAAGAGCTTTGGAAATGCGCCGCCTCGGCTTTTGATTAGATTTAAGGTTGTCTTGATTATCGGCGTTTCCGCTTTGCCTCGGATAGGAGGGTTGGCCTCGGCGTTTATGCACTTAAACGTTAGCTGACTTTGTTCCTGGATACCTAAAGTGGAAAGCTGTTGTGGCTTGTAGTCTTCTGAAATGCGCCAAGTTGGCACGACCCTGATAACCGGGGGAAGATGTCCAACTGCCAGCCATGTGCTAGGACCCCTAGCACCTGTGACGTGAGTCTCATCCAACCAGAATAGCTCGACGAGCTTGTGAGACATGATTTGTATGAGACGATCAAAGGCCGCTGACGACATGCGTGCTTGTGTGTTTTATTCCTTGTATAACGTGGCTAGGTACTCTTGATAGTATTTAAAGTGTCGCATTTCCGTTTACCGTTATTATCGAGTTCCTCACTCACTATCCATTTCAAAATCACTTAGAACTCACTAGGCACCTTACTTACAATGGTGAGACTATCGAACTTGGTTGGCAAACTTGATATTGACTCTTTAATCCAGGCGACCGCTGAAACTGTCGATCTGGGCCCTGTTCACCCTCCCAAAGAGGACTCCATTACAGCCTTTGAACAAATCCTCCCTGAGCTCAAGAAGACTCTTGTTCACCTCCGCCGCGACTACAATAGTGAGTCGATATGAGCCTACCTCTGATTGGATCTAAAGCTAAACCCCACTCTCAGAGCACGAACCAGAGTACTTTGCAGCTGCTGTAAGTTCAATCGAATATTTCTCGTTTTACCATGGCTTATAAGATATAGGAACACCTCTCAGACCAAGACCTTGTCGGTTTCAGCGCTGACGACTTCGAAGCTGTTCGTGTCGCTACATCAGCCTACGGCATTCATTTGTTCGGCAAGCTTCGCATTCCCGCTTTGCCCGACCCTTCAGGCCCATCTTATATTCACTTCCGTGTCTTCATTGGCGGTGGGGATGAGCCTCCCAAGCTCCATAGCATTCACACCGAGGAGCGCGAGGATTCAAGTGGTGGAAAGACCTACAGAGCAATTTTCACCAAGAATGATGAGCTTGAGTGGTTTGATACTTGATTGAGATAAACAATGAGAGATGTATTTTATGTGGCATATTGTCTAACATGCCAGTGGGCGTATTTTCAGATGTGCCTTGTTGACTCCTGCACCAACATGTGTATTGTACCGCCAAAATATTAAAACATGGGTTCAGCTTCATCATGTCATCACAGTTGATAAGCTCTCCTACATATCGTCCTCTCCGGCTAAGAGCTCGGCGTAATCGTCCACTGAGGCGAACATAGGAAGATCCTTGAGTTTTCTGCGCTTCGACTTCGTCTTCTCGCTTGCTGCCTCCTTGACCTCGAATCCCCCCTCATCCTCGCTGATCGAAGCACCGCCCATCTCCTCATCGGACCCCTCGATATCCACACTCATGTCGTCGTCGTCATCCTCGCCCAACTCGCCATCCAAGGACAATGCTTGCGAGTCATCGTCTGATGCCATTTCTGAGTCGTCGAGGTCGAAGCCCACATCAGAGCCGTCGTCATCAGGGTCAACGCCAGGTTGTGTAGAAACCAGTGCCTTCCAAACTTCATCTTCTTGCTCATCATCAGATTCAACGTTTCCTGCGGCTTGAGCATTCTTCTTAGTCTCCTTGCCCTCCTTGTCAACCTGCTGGAAGTACTGGTGGAAGAAGATATCCTCCGCAGGAACATCTTCCGCTTTCTTCTTCCAGAATGCGGATGAGTTCACAGACGACACGGCACCTCCAGCTCCGCGGCTGCCGAGCCAGATGTCGCCAGCGTCCTTGGTAGCCCGTAAAGGCTGCATGATGGACACACCCTTGGATGAATCGGTGGCCTTGGCGTTTCGGTAGACGAACTTGTCCAAGAAGCGAATGAGTGAATGGCTATCAAGGTCCGGCTTCAGTGACTTCTTATTGCGCTCCAATATCGACATCGCATAGACTGTAACCGACGGATGGTAGTGACACTGAAGAGGAATCTGAAAATAGTCAGCATGGTGGCACTGAGTTGAGACAACAAACTGTAACTTACCATCTCCCATAAGCAACTACGATTGGCGTTGCTATACTCGGGATCTCTCTTTCGACCATCGTATCGTTGCTTTTCATTTGCGGGCTCATCGTCAAAAATGGACTCCTCAGGCTCTTCCAGTAGAGTCGAAAGATCGGGGAAGCTCTCGCGTAGGTGTCCGACAAGATAGAGAAGTCCACACGTAAATGAGGGTTGATGAAGACCAGAAATCTGGAGCATACGCTTGGCAAAGGCCTTGACTCGGCGACTGTCAACATCGTTTTTGAGCGCGCGCAGGAGAAGGTTCAGGTAAAGTGCCTGCTTTGAGGAGTTCACCAGTCGAGGATCAAGTAGGGACTCGTACAAGGTCCTATAAAACCTGTCGTTTGCAAGACTTCTTGATGAAGATATTTGTTGGATCAAGAGAAGCGCCTGGATTCCAGTGTTGAAGTTGCCTGAGTGAGCAATCTTGAAGAGTGTGTCTAGGTGAGATTCCATGCTGTTATAGTGTCAGTGTTACGTGTGCGACAATACATGTTGAAAGAAACAGAATCACACATACATAGCATCGTTGCCAACCATGAATGGAGCTGCGCGGTTGACTCCAGTCAAGATGGCAGATACAAGCTTATCGGCAGCCTCAGTCTCAGGCTCAGAAGCTGAGGGCTTTGCTGGCTTACCGCCTCGCGGCCTTTGAGGTCGTCGTCCAGTATTCCGTTTAACGTCACCTTTGTTATCGTCATCTTTGCCTGGTTTCGAGTCCGTTGGCGCAGTGATGCCTAGACTTCCAGTCTTCAAAATGATAGTAAAAAGATCAAAGTAAATTCGCATCAGGGCCTCAGCTAATGAAGGCTCCTTGTTGCTAAGTATTGTCTGGTTCAGGGTGTTGATGGCATAATACTTTGATCGGTGGTCCTGAGTTGGGTGCAGAAGGATATCCTGTTCGATAGTTCGGACGATGATAGGTTTCATTCCAGGATGTGAATTCTGCAGCTGGAGAATGAGGTACGACGCTCGAGAAGAGATTTTGCGGTCTCGGTCACCCAACTTATTGACAAGCAATCTGAGGAGGTTGGATTCTTGCTCGGGCTTCTCCTTGAGGAGGCCATAGACAAAATCGAGTGCTCGGGTACGTGAATACTCGATCTCGTCTGAGCACCAGGATTCGAGCAGTTGAATGAGTCGAAAGTAAGTCGCCTTAAGCCAATCCTCGTAAATCCAGGCAATCAGGTGGGAGGGTGTGATCTTCCCAGGCAACGCGTTGCCAGGGGCCCAAGGCTTTCCAGGATTTCGCTGTAAAGTTCCAACAAGTCCTGGCTGATCGTGGAAAGCTCGAAGGCGGCGGTCAGCAGGGAGCAATGTGCCGGGGCCAAGCAAATCAACGAGCGCGCCAATGGCACCAAGGGCCTGTCCTCGACTTTTCTTGGAGGCCAGGCTCATAAGAGCATCAAAGGCCCTGATGTTGTGAACCGGAGACTCTTGAACGGCAAGAGTGAGAGCAGAGACCTTATCGCTAAGTGTACCTGAAGTCATGATTGTTGACAAGAACTTGTGAGAAGACTGAGCAAAGACGCTGGTTCTGTATTTGGTTGCGTCCTCCTCCAGCAGTGCCTGAGCGTGCTGTTTCAGAGCATCCAGAGCGGCTCTGGGCGGAGTTGGCTCATCAGTAGTCGGTGCGGGGAGTTTGCGTAGCTCAGAATCATGCCAGTCTGCTCGAGGCTCGAAGGCCTGTCTTACTGTTAGCGGTCAGAAAATTCGCCCTAGAAATCGTTCAACCTACCATGTTGCCTTTCTTTTGGGTGGGTTCCTTGAGTGCCACGGCCTGTTCTTCTTCACTATCATCGTCATCAACCCCCTCAACTTCGTTATCTTCAGCATCGTCGTCGTCGTCGTCGTCCTCTTCCTCGTCCTCTTGGTCGCTGGCTTCGCTCATCGCAACCTCTGTAAATCCAAGTTGTTTGGAAAAAGCGGCCAGCTCATCCTTAAGGCTCTTATCGACAGCTCTAGAATCCTTGGGGCCCTGAGTGTACTCTTCGTCGTCAGAGTCAATATCTTGAATAAGCGCCAGGTCGCTCTCGTCGCCACCAAGGGCCTTTATCTCTTCCAATAGAGTCTTTTCGTCGATCTTTCCGCTTTTCTCACCAGATGTGCCCTCGGAATTTCGCTGTCTCTTTTGATGTTGATCGCTGTTAGCCTTGGTTGGAGGTTGCTTTCGTTTGCCAAGCTTCTTGTCGATTGTAGACGTCAGATTATCCAGTGCACTGTTGTCGAAGTTTGGTCCCTTGGAAGAGCTGCGAGGCCCTTTGCCTTTCGGTTTCTTAGAAGGCTTCGCCATGTTGTCAAGGCCGGTTTGCTGATTGAAAATCTCAGATGGAAACTCTTGAATGGAAATGGATCTCAGAGACCTCCAACTTTTTTTTTTTTGGCATCACATTTTTCCGAGTGCCCCACCTCCACCTTCCGGGCGTCTAGCGCGCCTACGGGCGCTAATGCAGGATGACTAACATGATAGCAATTAGACGGAAGGACTTCCGGCCGTTGAATTACTATCAAAAGAGGGCCTGATCTCATAAAAGTTGTATGTGTTGAAATCTCTTGTCGTCTCAGTTTTTAAAACCATGATTGGCACAAGGATTGCCCGTATAGGCGGCTCTCTTATCCAAAGGGGCCCCTGGGGTGTGCAGCTGCGCGCCTTGTCAGTCACAAGTCTAGCAAAAGCCGACTCGCAACGGTCTGCACTGTCGACAATATGGGTGCCAACCGGGGGTATCACTGCTAATGAAGATGAGTGTGAGTTTGTTTTGTTTCCATTGAATCTCTTATGAGCTCATTAAATTTTAGTCGGCCATGGAAAACTCATTCGCGGTGGTTTCCTCCGCCAGGTAGGTAGCTTAACCTGAGTCGCCAAATGATGACTTGGGTGTTAATGCATCGGCAGGCTCACTCTGGAATTTTTCAGCTTCTTCCCCTGGGGCTTCGTGTTCAGGATAAGATAGAAAAGTTGATCGATAAACATATGCGCTCAGTTGGTCAGTACGATGCCAGCAACTTAGCACATGTCATTAAAACGTTATCCGTAGGTGCATCAAGATTATCCCTGTCAACTATTTCATCAGAAGAACTGTGGCGAAAGAGTGATCGTCTTGAATCTGTTGCGCCGGAGGTAAGAGTCTGAAGCTTTGATGAAGCGGTATGGGCTGGGCTAACTCGTTCAGCTTTTTCGACTCAAAGATCGTAAAGAGACTCCGCTGATATTGTCGCCCACACATGAGGAGGAGATCACCATGCTTGTCGCCGGAATCGTCAATTCATACAAGGACCTTCCAATTCGACTCTACCAGATCAGTTCGCATTTCTATCTTCAACATTGACGCTAAACCTACTGACGTTTCCCAGCCCGAAAATACCGCGATGAGCGTCGCCCTCGCCACGGTCTTCTACGCTCACGGGAGTTCCTCATGAAGGATCTCTACACTTTCGATCTCACAACACTTGAAGCTGTGGAGACCTATCGTCAGGTGTCTGCAGCATACCGCGCCTTCTTTGATGAGCTAAAACTCCCATATCTTGTGGCCGAGGCAAGCTCTGGTGATATGGGCGGTGACCTAAGCCATGAATATCACTTGCCAAGTTCTGTTGGAGAAGATACCGTGATAAATTGTGACTCTTGTGGCTATACTGCTAACGACGAAGTCGCTGCTCTCCGACCCCCCTCTACGGCATATGATGGTTCGGAGAGCCCTCCGGCGTCTCACTTCCGTGTTTGGCGAGGTATTTCCAAGGACAGAAAAGCCTTGATCAATGCGTGGTATCCTCGATCATCGGGGGCCTCTGCAGAAAGCGGTCTCAACCTTCATGCCGTCAAATCAGCTGTCCCTGAGCTGGACGCCACCATTGAGGATCCTTTGCCACTTTGGGGAGCATCATTGGAGAGCGGAACGACAAAAGTGATCAATGTTGTTGATGGAAGACTTGTACCGGTGTTTGAAAGTGTTCGCGATCAGTTACCGTTGTTACCCGAAGATCTTCAACCATACCAAGTTGAGTATTCAACAATTGACAGCACAGCCTCTGGTGGCGGGCTGAATTTGGCACGTATCACTGATGGCGATGCCTGCCCTCGATGTGAGGAGGGCGCATTAAAAATCCATCGTGCTTTAGAGTGCGGCCACACATTCCAACTTGGAACTCGCTACTCAGTACCACTCGATGCCTGTGTCACTATACCACGCTCGGGGATTCCGGCGGCAGCTGCGGAAGAGGGACTGATTCCAGGGAGTCGTATTCCTCTTCAAATGGGCTGTCATGGCGTTGGCGTTTCGAGAATCTTTGGTGCTGTTGCTGAGATTCTCGCGGACGAGCAAGGACTGAATTGGCCCCGAGCCATTGCGCCGTTTGAGGTTGCGATCATACCTGCACCAGACTTAGCCGAAGACTCTCTGAGAATTTACGACTTACTTGCCGCGGGCGACAATTCGCGTAATGGCTTGGACGTTGTTCTCGATGATCGCCAGCGATCATTTGTCTGGAAGATGAAAGATGCCGATATGGTAGGCTTTCCTGTCTTGGTTATCATGGGAAGATCTTACAAAGAAAATGGCACTTGCGAAGTTCAATGCAGACGACTTTCGATCAAGGAAACTGTAAAGCTTGACGCTCTGCCAGAATTCATCTCAAATTTGTTGGATCAGCTGTAAGGGATGGATCCGGATTATTATAACATAACTACTACATTCGAGGCGAATGTATAATAAACAAAGCAAAGTTCATAGCAACAGAGGTCGACAAAATTAGACAAGTTAAAAGAGAAAAGAAAGAAATTATTCACCTCTTAAATTAGAAAATGTAGTATCTTGGGCAAAACAAGAGAAGGCCACTAATTACTTGGATTATAATGCAGCTACTTACGTACCTTAAGTATGGTGTTAGGTACTGGTGTCCAGGCAAATCAATGACAGTGCCTATAGCACCCCCGTTAGTAGAATTCAACAACCCCACGTCATTTTATTACTAAAGCGAGACCCTGGAGGGGCATTCAAAGGAAGTAATTCACGACAACTACTACCTGTCCGCCGACACTTCAGTACACACCAAAAAAAATGGCTGGAAGACAAGAAACCAGTAAACCTACTACCAGTAACTCATTCTGAATACCCATTTGCTGACCCTACTTGCGCTATAGTCAACCTCGATACGCTAGAGCCTCAGCAGCTTGCCCAAGTCAAGAAGCAGCTTGATGAAGAGCTCGAGCACTTGACGACGTCGTTCGCACAACTCCATGCCGCCCAGAACAAGTTTAAAGACTGCCTCCGATGCGTTAAAAGTCGCGCTGCCGCTCCCGAAGGTACATAACCCACCTGCTTAGCCGCTTCCCCCACTCAGCGCACAATCTCGCTTTCTAAACAGCACCTGACATGCTTTAGGATCCAACTCTGTACTGGTTCCCCTCACCAACTCCCTCTACGTTCGCGGTGAGCTCGCAGATGCCGATACTGTATTGGTGGATGTAGGCACTGGATTCTTGGTTGAAAAGGTATTTGTGATCCTGGCAAGCTCGGAACTGCTCACTGATTGACCACCATACAGAAACTCAAGTCGGCCGAAAAGTTCTACGAGAGCAAGGTTGAGGAGCTGGGTAATAACCTGAAAGACCTCGAGGTTATTGTCCAACGGAAGCAGACAAATGCACGAACGATTGAAGAAGGTATGTTTTTCTCGGGCACGCAGCCTCTATTAGGAGCACGGCTAATATGACCCCTAACAGTTTTGAGGCAAAAGATCATGGCTGGCCAAGGGCAAGGCGATCAACAGGCCTAAAAGAAAGAATCAAAAACTTCTCATCATTCTAGGTACGATGAAGATTAGCCAGACGCCAGTTTAGTAGGTATCTTACGGTGATCCCCCAGGCGGCACAGCATCGCCTTTGCGAACCTGCTATGACGAGGCAGTATCAGCATGCACTCTGTTCAGGAGGGCTTGGACCTCCATAATGATCCGCAAGAAGCACCCGAGCCTCGACTGGAGATCATCACCCTCCTCCCAAATATTCTCGAGCCCCTCCCCCCAGTCCTTTCGGCCACCACTGGAGTGGTTCACACTTTCCTCCCAGTGGGGGGCGTATAATTCAACCCCCCAAGTAACATTTTGCTCCCCAATCGTGCGAGATCCCTTTAGAGTCTTGGTGATGTTGATCTTGAGGACATAGGGGGATTCTTTGAATGGAATTATTGCCCAAGATCTTGCCTGAATTTCAGTGATTTGCTCATCGGGGATCGCAAGTTTACTCGTGTTGACTTTTGGCAAAGGGAGAATGGTGCCCTCGTCTGGTTTGAAGACAACCGATATCCTCTTTGCAAGATCTCTAAACTCTGTTGGAACGTCCACTTTGTCCCAAGCGTCCATCCGAATGTTCCAATCGTGTTCCCTGTAAGTGCAAGACATGAGTAAGTGAGATTTGTTTCGAATAATTGACGTACATGTTAGGAGCAGCAATCGTCCAACTCCAACGTGCCCGGGTCTCTGGCCTAGTAGCGCGGACCATTGCTAGTTGCATAAGTTGAGGATTGTAGTCGGCCTCAGTCTTGATTTGTAGACCACTGGCCACTACAACCACCTCACAACCTCGCCTCATGTCCTTCATGTTCTTGCAGATGCCTGCTTCTGGGCGTGAGATATACTGCAAGAGTTGCTCCGCCTCGTTAGCGTCTCCAAGTCTATTGCGTGTCAGAAGCGGTGGTCCAATTTGAGCCTATTGCCTGCTCACCTGGTTACAATCGAGGCTCCTCCACGACTGGGATACATGTTCATAAGTCTGGTGAAATGGGCGAATGCGATCTCGTCTTCAGTACCTTTCGGTCTCTTGGCAATGATAACGTGCCCGAAATTGACTCGCAAGCCCATGGTCTTATTGAGTGCCATGAGGCCTTCTGCTGAGGACGCCAGGTCGGACGCTAGTCTTGGCAAATGTTCATCCATTGAGGAAGCATTACTGACAGGATTCGAGGTTTTAGAAAGAAAAGATGGGCGTGCTCCAAGTTTCAACTGAATCATATCAGTGACGACCGCTTTAGTTGGCCTCTGTACAAGAAAGCGCGCGGGAGAACTGTCGTTAGATAGACGCATGTCCCGAATTCTCCAGTTAACCGCTTCAAACGCCTGCTGGAGGCGATGGATAGAATCGCAGTGAATCTCAAGAATGTTTGGTACATCCCGCGTGATATAGACCCGATACTTTCTGCGGATATCGTCGAGTGCCGCTGGTTCATCCAATGCAACAGGTAGCAAGTGTTGCCCGGGAAGTACAAGGGCCGCCTTGAAGTCTCGTCAAACGCGGTCATATAAACTTAGAGGTGAATTCGAGAGGACCCTTACCTGTACTAGATATTTTCCCGCCGGTGGACGGCCAAGATGTTCAGCATCCTCGGCTTGCCGTATCTTTTCTTCTCTACCTTGGTAGATGTTTTTAGCTGTCTTCAACTTCTCATTTTTCGTCGACGCAAACTTTGGCGCCCTTGAGAGAGCAGCTGGAGGCATGAGGTCACCTCTACCCGAGGGTACTCCTCTTCCCCTGCCCTGATACATGCCGTATCGCAGCGCCTTTACTCAAGGGAGAAGGGAGAAGGGAGGAGAATGAGCTGGTGAACAGCAGACAATATTTATCGTTATGCGAGATGCAGACCGGAAATGTTGAATGACTGATAGTCACAGTGAATTCTTGTGTTGGGAAGAGTTGAGCAGGCGGAATGGGGGGAAGGAGAAGAGGTGCATGGAAACAGTGAATCATAGCCGGGCGGCTGCCTACCTTTAGGTAGGTAGGGATGAAGCAAACAATTTTATTTGCATTTTGTTTGAGTGCAAAGCTGATACTGCCCATCGGCAAAGCATGATTGCTCTTTCCCGTTTGCTATCCTGCATCCTGCATGGCACTTGCACAGCTTTCGGCTCACAGGTGTTTGCCCACCTTACATCGTAGGTAGTAGTAAAATGTATATCATTAATGTAGGTAAGTAGATGCATGGTAGGTAAGGTAGTCTAATTAAGGTAGGAAAATCTTCTCTTTAATTCCATGAGGTGTCTGAGTTGATACATAAGTAAGTGAGGATACTTTAAAAAACAAGTTATTTAATTATAATTAACAACAGTTTATAGCTTTTTATTTATTTATTTATTTGTTTGTTTGTTTTAAAAGAAAGCATTCAATTAATAAATGCTATTATACTAACTACTTAGATATAAGGTGTATTTTAAAGTTCTGACAGTATTGCTAAGGTGAAGAGTAAGATATAAAATAAATTGCATGTTTCCATGACTCTCTTTAAACTTTTCTATTACATATGATTTTGTTGCGCAAAGGCACCAAAAGTGGGATAATAATTCGACTATGTAAGGCACAGTACACATAACAGGGTGCCTGGTAGGTGTTAAAGATTCCCTACCAAAGTATTCAAGGTAGTATTGTAATATGGTCATAAACCCCCGATATATGCATAGCCCATAGCAACCAATTATTTGTTCTTTACTTCCGTCGCGTCTCCTGCGACGCGTGAATCGTTGTGGCAGCACCTAGCACCGGATAACGACAAAATAATGGCCCCCATCAATTCAGAAGAAAATACAAAACGTCAACTGTCTAAAATTCCCCATGATCTATCAGACGATGAGCTTGCGGACGCAGAACCATCATGGCAATGGATCTACAACTCTACCCCAACGACCGAACGAAGCGATGGAACACAGAGCGATAGAAAACGAAGAAAGGTAACAGGTGACAGGATCGTCGGGGCGAGGATTGGCCAATTTGAATGTAGAATTGGAGACACTGTCATGCTCAAAGCCGATGGCTCTAATGAGGCCTGGATCGCCTTGATCTGCGAATTTGTTGAAGACGATGGAGAGGGAGAGAAAGCAGCAAACTTTATGTGGTTTTCGAGTGAAAAGGAGATCCGAAGCAGGGACAAGAAACGATCCGATTACTACCCAGTCAGCTTTGAAACCCCTTGAGGCTGTTGAATGTAGACTAATCAAAAATTTATAGAATGAACTCTACATCTCTCCATCATGGGATATCAACCCCCTGGCATCAATCAACGGCAAAGCTAAGGTCATGTCTCAAGATGGTTTTCTTGCGAAATACCCCCAGGGTAAGGTTCCTCGAAATGATCCAGACTTCGGTAAGGTCTTTGTCTGTCGACGAGGCTGCAATACCCGCACTGCTACGTATACAGACGAGTTTATATGGGAGGAAATATATAGGGGCGAGCATGATTTGTTTGCCTTGATGGATAGGGTCAAGACTGGTACAAAAGTCACACGACGTCGACGAAAGGCTCGGAGCCCGTCACCTTCTGATGATACTTACCATCCTGCTCAAATTCCGCAGACACCGACCAAAACAGGACGAGGCTCGGTAGCCGCTACGCCAACTTCACGAAGGAGCCAAGCCACACCGGGCTCTCGTGTCAAAAGGTTGGTGATCAAAGCTGCTCGCCCTGGCGTTAGTTATTAACAATTACTTGTAGGAGTGCAAGCAAGAGACTTGAGTTTACACCTTTGGCCACACGCAAACTGTCGCCTAGCCAAGTTGAATCTTCACCTTTCCAGATAGCACGATCTCGCTTGCATGTCTCCTCGGTCCCAACCAGTCTTCCTTGTCGGGAAGGAGAATTTTCTTTGGTTTATTCTCATCTCGAAGCAGCTATTTCGGATGGCACAGGTAACTGTATTTACATTTCTGGAACACCTGGAACAGGAAAAACAGCGACGGTCCGCGAGGTCGTCTCCAGGCTTGAAGAAGCTGTAGGCTCTGATGAGCTGGACGATTTCATATTCGTGGAGATCAATGGTATGAAAATCACGGACCCTCACCAATCCTATACCCTTCTCTGGGAAGCCCTTAAAGGGGAGAGAGCTAGTCCAGCGCAGGCTCTTGATCATCTGGAAAGAGAGTTCAGCAACCCCAGCCCTCGCCGAATTCCTTGTGTAGTGCTCATGGATGAGCTTGACCAACTAGTCACCAAGAATCAGGCCGTCATGTACAACTTCTTCAACTGGCCGACTTTGCGACATAGCCGTCTTATTGTACTTGCAGTTGCAAACACCATGGATCTTCCCGAGAGAACTCTCAGCAATAAGATCAGCAGTCGACTAGGTATTATCTCAATCAGACACATTGCTGTGATATTAACTAAAAGCTTTAGGTCTAACGCGTATCACGTTCCCTGGTTACAATCACGAACAACTGATGAAGATCATTCAGTCACGACTAGAAGGAGTCCCTGGGAATATCGTAGATCCTGACGCTATACAGTTCGCCAGTCGAAAGGTAGCCGCAGTCAGTGGTGACGCCCGAAGAGCCCTTGACATCTGCCGCCGAGCTGTTGAGCTCGCCGAGGCCGATGCTCCTAGTGATCCCGCAACTCCAAGCAAGCGAGACAGTCAAACGCAACCCAAAGGTTCAGGTCGCGTTACTATTGCGACAATCAAGAAGGCCATCAACGAGGCAACCACTAATCCCATTCAACAACACCTTCGAAGCCTGCCTTTGATGTCCAAGCTTGTCATGGCAGCTCTTTTGCTGCGTATTCGAAGAACAGGTCTTGCCGAGACAACCTTCGGGGACACCCTCGATGAGATACACCGTGCCTGCCTTCGAGCTCCAGCAGCACTTCCAGGCGTAGCAGCAGTCCTCAACAATGGCCTGAAAGGAACGCAGATGGGAAGTCAGCGCCCAATGACCAGACCCGGTCACATTCACACAGCGGCGCTCGAATTAGTAGCGGCCGGCCTGATTAACCTTGAAGCTCAGCGCGCAGAGAGGTCCAGTAAGCTCCGTCTTTCTATTGCAGACGATGAAGTAAAAATGGCCCTCCGTGATGACGGGGACCTTAAGGCTTTGGGTATCGGTGTATAACAGTTGTAGTATAGAACCCGAACGGCGTCCTGCGACAATTCATCCTTAATAAAAACAAACATACTACCTCTAATTGCTCCTTCAAAACTTTCGTCGGGCCAGTGTTGGCTTCCATTCGAGGGGGTGCGACTCTTCTGTTGCTGTTTCATCTTGCTTCCAGATTTTGACTATGGATAGATGCATTAGCAAGGCAAAGACGAGCATGCCAGGGCGAGATCGAGACTTACTTGTTTTATCAGCTTCACCACAGATCAGACGTAGGCCAGAGCGATCGAACGTTGAACTCATGATACCTGCCTCGGCATCAAGAGAGCCGGGTTGAGCTGTGGTGTCAAGAGATTGGAATCGGTGACCAGTCTTCCAATCCCAAAAGCTCATGGAGCCATTATCGCCTACAGTTCAAATTAGACACATGTGGCGAGGAAGATTGAATCGTATCACTTACCTCCTGTAAAGAAGACATTTTGCTCGTTAACACTCATCGTGTTAATAATAGCATTGTGGCCCTCGAAGTTCTGCATGAAAGCACCTTCAGGACACTTCCATTGCTTGACACTCCCTGTGCTACCACTAGCAAATGTGAACTCTGATGGGTGTGTTGCTAGAGCACGAACACCCTTCTTGTGATGAGTTAGTACACCCATGGTCTTGCCAGCTGCGAGATCCCAGAGTCGCACTGTCGAGTCCAAAGATCCGGTGATAACTTGAGGGTCAGCCTCTTGACAAACGAGATCGGAAACCGTCTGGGTGTGGCCAGACAGGACGTGAATGTTACTTCTGGTCCGCATATCCCAGACACGGGCGACGCCATCGCGACCACCAGTGACCAGAACATCGAGGGTAGGATGTAGGGCAAGAGTATAGACACCACTGAGATGTCCGTGGTAGTGACGGATAACTTTGTTAGTCTCGAGATCCCAGCACTTGACCATCTTGTCTTCGCCACAAGAGAAGAGATAAGGATGACGAGGGGATACTGCAAGGCCGCGCACAGTACTGATATGTCCAGTAAGAGTCAACCTCAGCGAGCCCGTGGCCAAGTCCCAAATCTTGATAGTTCGATCTCCTGCGCCGCTTGCAAACCATTTGTTGCCAGGTTCAACAGCCAGACTACGCACCCAACCGAGATGACCAGAGATGACCCTCATCAACTTCCATGGCGCGTGCCATTCTGGCTTCTGCTGCTGAAGGCCTTGCACTCCTCTTGTAGTAAGACTCATGTTCTGTGGTGTACTTTCGTCCCTGGCAGCAGGAGTAGATGCCTTGCCTGAACTAGGCGCACCCTCAAGGAGTTTCATGGCTGGGCGAGCAGGCACACCAGCCTTAGAAGCCTTCTTCCCAGGCTGTTTCGTTGGAAGCTTCGCAGTAATTGATGGCGGTAAAGTCTCGACATCTGAGTATTCGTTACGGAACCGTCTCTTGATGATGGGGTCCTCGGACGCGTCGTCTAGCTTCTGGCGCTTTGTGGCCGATCGCTCGGATGCATGGGCGTAGACTGTTCTCGAGACGTTCGCATTCTGTGCGGCGAGGGCATTGAGTCGAAGAGCATCTTGAGACACTTCTGGTGTCTCCATGATGTATGTGCGGCTGTGTTTGCGACTCAAAAGTACCTGGATGACCGCTGGGGATGTTGATGATGATGATAAGCTGGGATATCTTTTGCGATGGAAGCGTGTAAAGGCTGGCAGCCGCGTGTGGCGCTAGTTTTTTCTACACCATAGCGCCACATATGTGTGGCTATGAGGTTCAGGTACCTTGCTCTCCACTCAGTCCCTGACTTCCTGCTAGCTCTCTTTTGCGCTGACAGGGATCTACGTAAGATCAGCTACCTACAGCCGGTCGTCACACTAACAAGCAGCACCTGTTTGATATCTCCATCCCGACAGGAGTTTATTAGCAACATTTATTTTCCTTATCCGCTTGTATTGCTTCGTAGGCAGTATGGATAACGATGATAAGTTCCCTCTTCATGCCGCTGCTCGTGAGGGGCGAGGTATGCCTATTGAATTATACAACTCCATGACTGTGATCACCACTAATCGGCAAATATAGTAACTGTTTTTGAAGGGCTTCTCAAGGTCAGCATTCAGCTTTATAATTATATATATCAGACATTAATTTCTTGGACAGTCAGACCCAAAATTGTCGCAACGAAAGGATAATGATGGTCGGTATCCTATACACTGGGCAGCTTCTTCTAACAACTTGGACATCGTTCAGTTGTTAGCCAACCAACGCAGTTTCGATGCTGATGTCCAGGTGAGCAACGACTTCTCATTGAAAGTCTTCCTCCACCTCCAGGACAATAACCAACACATTCTAGGATGAAAGCGGGTGGTCTCCTTTGATGATCTCAGCCAGTGTTCCAGAGGGTGAAGCTGTCGTCAAACTTATCATGTCCAAAGACGCGGACGTGAACCTCAAGAGTAAGTCTTGCTCTCCGTCTATCACTCTAAATATACTCACCGGACCTCGAAGACTCTGCTGGACAGGTAACGCTTCAATCGCTACATCTGAATTGAGAACCATCTAAGCTCAGCATATAGACTGCCCTTCACTTTGTCGCCTCCAAGAAGAACCTTGACATTGCCCGTGTTCTTATCGACAACGGCGCGTCGACCCGAGTACACGATCGTAGGGGCCAGTATCCCATACATCGCGCTGCTGCTGTCGGTTCTGTGCCTATGGTGACTCTGCTTCTCAAAAACAGAAGTCCACTAAACCCTGCCGATAATGAGGGTTTCACTCCCCTTCATCACGCAATTGCAGAGGGACATGGTAAAAAGACTCTTTGCCACCGGCGTCAAAAAGCCGCTAACCTGTGTTCTCCAGGAGACACTGCTGTTGCCCTCCTCAAAGAAGGCGCTGACTTCACCCTAAAGAACAGCGCGGATGAGCTAGCACTTGATCTGGCACCAGATAAAGAAGTATGTATATCTCTAAAACACAACGAAAATGGAGTTCTTGGCTCTCTTCTCTTCGCACCACTCTATAAACTCCCATCTAACTCTGCCTCTTTGTCAACAGGTACGCCGATATGTTTTACAAGGTGCAGAGCGTGAGGGTATCGAGTTGTCAGGGTAGCTAGGAATACATGCTAGAAGAAAGAGAAAAAAATGTGCAAGATATCACGGCTTTTCCCGAGTCTAAGATGCGAACACGAGAGAGCAACGAAAACAAGGCAGAAGATAACGAAGTGAAATAGAACCAAGTTCTTCCCTTTTCTTACTTCATCACGGTCCGTTCCACCAACTCGCGATACATGTCCTTGACATCCTGAACGTCAGCCCTGAGCTCCTCAACGAGCTCGCTCTTCTCGCCCAGCATCTCTAATGTTGTCTGATATCGCGAGTTGATGTTCTCTACTTCTGCTTCTAGCTCTGTTACCCGTGCTGAAGCGGTTTTTTGTGTTTCCAGCTCTGTCATCAGGTTCACAATATCAGATCGCGCTTCGTCTCGCTGGCTGCATACACGAGCCATTTCTTCTTTAGCAGCCACCTTCTCGGCTTCCAGTCGTCGAATTGCCGCGCTCATTCTCTCGACGAGCTGAACGGAAGGACCAGCCCCAACTGTCGATACCGAAATCATGTCTTGCGCAACGTTGCGGGGAGATGAAGGGTCGCCGTCATCTAGACCATCATCACGATCTGGCGGCGGTGATGCGGCGCGCGGTGACTCGGTAGGTGGCTCAAAGGGTGAGAAAGGGGGTGGAGGAGGTATCGCATGACCGGCCGTGGACAAAGCACTAGGGCGAGGAGGTTGACTGGACATTCTTCGGCCAAAGAAGAAGCCATCGCCGGCGCTGTCGGTTTGGCTTCCCGGTGTGGGAACTCGACGAGGCTGTCTTGCTGGTACAGGAAGCCCGATGAAGTCCGAGCTAAAGGTTCGGGCAACAGAGAGCAATGGGGAATCGGGTCTGCTCTGAGACCTGGGTGTGCTTGTAGCAACATCGTCTGCCCATTGCCTTCGTTCGGCCTCAGCCGACACCTCCCTACTCACCGCTCGCTGTTGCTTCTCAAGCTCGTTGCGTGCCTGTTCAAGGGCCGTCTCCACGCTCTTGTGTTGGATTCTGAGGGCAGCAAGCTCTTCACGACATGTCTCGAGCTCCTGCCGAGCGGCTGTGAGAGCTGGACTAACGTCCTGAAGCTCATCCTCGAGTCGCTTGTACCGAGTTGCCTGTGAAGGTGTCAGCCATCTTCCCCCTTTTTTTACTGTCGAGAACATGTAATTTACCGCATCACGAGCCTTCTTCCGCATTTCTGACTCTCGTCGTTGCGCTTCGTCCCTTTCCTTTTCAAGGCTGGCAGCCTTAGTCAGGAGTGAGGTTTCTATACCTTGCCAGTTCTCGCTGGCTGATGCATACTGCGATTGGAGGGTTTCAATATGTCGTATCAACTTGATGTCACCACCTGATCCTGCAGAAGCCTCCTCGGCCGTCACTCTCATTGCCTCGAGTTTGCCCTCGGCCGCTCTCAGCTCAAGTTTCAACTCTTCTTCAGTATTCCGACCACGTTCTAATGCTCGGTCTAGCTTCTCTTGCCACTCAACCTCAGTCAGGCGCAACTTCTCAACCAATGCCTCCTTTTCTGACCGCAGTGATGCGATAGTATGGTCAAGTTCCTGCTGTTTGTTCTTCTCAACATCTAGCGCCTTTTTCAATGCCTCAGTGTGGGCGGCTTGTATTTGCTCAGCCTTGGCTTTAGATTCTTGCTCCAGACGTCGATATGCCTCCTCCTTGACAGCTTTGTCTTTCTTCAGGGCGTCGATTTCCTTCTGGAGCGTAGCGTTCGCTTTTCGCACTTCCTCGTTTCTCTTCTCTTGCTCTTCCTTGCTCTTGATTCGACTATGTAGGGATTCCACCTCGGCCAGAGCTTTTTCTTTACCTTTTTTGAGTTCATTGGCCTGTTTCTCATTGTCTATAATCTGGGTGCGCAGCTTGCGAACGGTTGTTCGGAACTTTTGCTCTGAAGATGAAAGCTTTCGTCCTTCCTCCATTAGCAGAGCGATCTTCTCATCCTTTTCGGCCAATTTGCGCTCTACACTACCCGCTTCAGCAGAACTTGCAGTCTGCCTAGCTGCATCCGTGGCATTTTTGGATAAGAACTGCAGTTTGGCTTGTAGTGAGTCGATTTGCTCAATGTACTCTTGAATCTCCTCTGAACGAGGCGTGTGAGCTTGGGTGGCATCCTGGTCTTTCTGTGACTCTTCAACTGGAGCATCTACGATCTGTGGTGCCTCTACAGGATGCCTGGTATCTGGTATTGGACTGTTCGGTTTTAGTTGGATATCGGATTTGTCCGTAACTTCTTGTTCTGGTGCACTTCGAGGTTCGGCCTCAGAAGGTGGCTCAACGATAATCGGGGTGGGGAAATCATGCTTGAAGTTTTGTTCACTAATCTCCCTACTATCGCTTCCTTCAGGTGTCGCTGGTTGTTCAGCTGCGGGGGCGGAAGCTGGGCTGTCAGAGGAGGTTGACTTGTCGACTTGGTTGGCGGATTCAGTTGGCTTAATTTCCGATACTTCGATGCTTTGTCTCGTCACAACGGGTTCAGTGCTAGCAGGGCGCTCCTTGTCAACCGAACTACGAGAAGTATCGATGGAGCTGCGAGGCGACGATTGTGAGGTTCGCGAGGCCATAGCCTTGGCCAACCTGGCTTGTAGACGATCATTGGCACGGTTAGGCTTCGGAGCGACAGCTATAAAGAAAAACGAGTCAGCATGCGACAGTTCTGCCCGCACCAGAACACGGCTTAGGAGAAAAGAGAGGCTTACCAGATGCAGTGGGTTTAGGGCTTGGTGATGGCGAGGGCGCGGGCGCGGCCTTCATTCCCTGCTGCTGCTCATATCCTTGTGCCGCCTGTTGGTCTTCGTCGAGTAAGTTGTCAAGACGATTCTCGACGCCTTCAAAGGCCGACGAGAGGAAAGCTCCCCATCGCGACCCTTTGCCCGGCGCAGTCATGGTCGAGTGACGAGAGCGCCCAAGGTGTTGGGTCACAGCTCGTCGTTGTCGGTCGTCAACTGATTGACGTGGTCGCTGGTGGTCACCTCATCGATGTGCTGCAGAAGAAGTAGATGTAGCGCCTGGGAGCGGCGCTTGAGTTGACCAGGTTGTACTGCAGCTGCAATGTAGGTGTGTAGTTGTAGTTCGGTGGTGGTGGTGGTGGTGGTGGTGGTGGTGGTTTGCAGGGAAACGTTGGCTTCGAGGTTGAGGTGTCGTCAGCGCAACTTGGGAGTGGCATGTACTAATGTTAGTGGGTGGTAAGTGGAGTGAGACATGGAGCTCCAGGCCAGGGAGGTAGGATGCTCCAGGATGATTAGGACAAGGAACAGGCTATATTGGAATTACCTCCATCATTGCGTGAAGAACTCATCGAAGGAATTCGATTTAATTATGATATGAATTGGATTGAATGACCCCAAGTTGTGTACTTCCATAAGTTAGAAGTGGTGTTAGTCCAGTCAGGAAGATGGCCAAAATTGACAAATAGAGTGGAAAATGTGCCCTTTACCTCCAAGTAGTGACGGCAATGTGACTTGTTAGAATCGACACAAAGAGACCTCTAATAACCTAGATGGTCACGCATCGAAATATTCAGCTTTGATAACGAGTACATTCTAAACAAAAAATCATTTATTGAGTTGACATCCTGCCTTGTTTCCTGGGTATACATGTAGTACAACAATTCGCTATATCCAGCATATACAGTCCAAGTACATACTTATCCAGACTTCAAATACCATACCAGTCAAGATCCAATATCCAATGCTAGAATATCCTCAAAGCACCCATCCCAGATATGCCATGAGTTGATAATGCCAAGCCAAACCTAAACACCGACCATATCCATGTTGGCGTCATGTTGGCATAGAAAGTGGTTACCAAAAACAAGAGCACCGCAACGAAATGCATGAAGTAGTGGCAAACATTCAAATAACATTGGCAAACACGCTCGCTTGAAATAGACTCTCATGTATCGTTCGTTCGTTTGTTTGTTTGTTCGTTCATCCATCATCCGATCACTCCTTATCCAGCGATCTTCTTCCACCAACTTGTGCGAGGTGTTGCTGTTGCCTCCATAAAGGTTGACGCTCGACGGCTGTGGTGTCGCTCATCACTACCTTCCGAACGCCTATCTCGGTGACGTTCCTTATCTCGACCACCGCGCTCACGATCATCTCGCCTTGCTCGTCGCCTTCGCCGATCTTCGGCCTCTTCTGTCGGCTCTTCCTCATATTTCGATCGATGAGCTCGACGAGCTTCACGTCTTGCCATCTCGTCCTCGGTCTGTCCACCATTTGCTTCACCCCCGTCACCGAGGTCAGGAGGAGGGGGTGCGTCAGAGTGTTCCTTGACCCATGATGAAGTTCCAGAATGAGGCCAAGCTGGAGCCTGCGGTCTCTCTTCGCGACGATGGGATCTCCGCTGATTATATTCGTCTGTGGATTGCTGACTTCGTCGCTGACGACCTTCCTCTTCTTCTGCGCCTCGAGCAGCTCGCTTTGTGTCGCGGCGGCGGCGTTCACGTTTGGCAGCTCGACGAGCCTCTTCATCTTCTACTTGTTCTGCGGCAGCAGCTGCTTCCTGTTCTCTACGCAAGCGCCTACGTTCAGCTCTTTGGGCCTCCTTTTCCTCTTGCAGTCGTTGTTGTTCTTCTTGCGCTTGTCGCTCCTCCTGGGCTCGTCTTGCACCTTCATCACGCTGTCGTCTGCGTTCAGCGCGGCGGGCCTCTTTATCTTGTCTTAGAGGATCGGCTTCTTCCTCGCGCTGTCGACGTCGTTCACGGCGTATCTCATCTCGAGCTCGACGCGCTGCTTCCTCGGGGTCAGGGCCGCCTTCAGCAGCCCTCTTGGCCCTGCGTGCAGCTCGTCTTGCTTCACGGTCAGCATCTACTAATACTGCATCACCATCCATTTTGGCACTGCGCAAGGCTTCGTCGTCAGTTGTCGCATAGGTACTGCGACGTCGCAGAGGGTCAGGTCGTTCAGTCTTGGGTGTTCGCAAACCACTGAAGAGGCCAGCGAAGCCTGAGGACTTCTTGGAACTTCGTGGAGGTGCGTCAAAAGGAACGTCAGGCTCCACCATCACGGGCTCTTCATCCCTTGATCTCCTGGCTCGCCGACGACGTTCGGTATCGACCACGGCAACTTCTTCCTCTTCGCGAGATCGTGGTTTGTGAGACCGGCGGCGCTCGCGTCTGTCAGGCGCGAGGTCAGGATCTACCATAACCAAATCATCGTCCTCATGCGACCGTGGTTTATGTGAGCGACGTCGTTCATACCTATCAGGCACAGGAGCAGCGCCGGACATCATTGCATCTTCATCTTCGCGTGATCGAGGTTTACGCGACTTGCGGCGATTGCTTAATTCATCCTCACCCATGAGCATATCTTCAGGAGGAGGCGACACAAGTCCGCGAGCATTGGTAGAGTGGCGGCGTTTGCTGCTGATGCCGTCTTTCTTCTCGCGCATGGTAGCGGAACGAGTGAGTGGTGGTTTACTGAACAAGGCAGTGCCACGAGATCGTGATGGAGTCTTCTCGACTTTGTCGGACGAGGAACCCTTAGACGACGTCTTTTCCTCTCGCCGTCTATGTCTACTTGACTTCTCTTGAGGCTCGTCCCTTTCTTCATGTGGTGTCGCGGCCCACCGACCAAACGAGGTTCCTTCGCGATGAATTTTGGGCCTTCGAGACTGCTTCGGCTCAGGTGGTGGCGTCAATGGAGGATCTGGAACTGGAGGGGGTGGAGGAGCATCGCGACGGGATTTGCTCTTCCTACTCTTCCTTTCTTTCTTTGGCGACAGGTCGATGACCTCGACGATTTCATCATCTGCAGGGGCTTCGGGGACTTGGTCCTTTGGCAGTACCTTGGGTTCTTTGTCTTCGTCTTCGCCGACAGCAGCTTCATTTTCGACGTCACTCGATTCTTTATCCGCAGTGTCTTCAGCTTCTGCTTCTTTTTCTTCATCGTCGTCCTCGGCTTCAATTTCCGACTTCTCTTCTTCAAGGGGGTTGCCGAATTCGACTACATCCTCTTCCTCATCTTCTGCTGCTGCGGCAGCCTCTTCTTTGGCCGCAAGCTCTGCAGCACGCTGGGCAGCGTTCTCCTCTAGGACTCTGAGTCGTTCGGTATCCTTTCTGCCGAGCCTGCCTTTTCTTGCTTTCTTGAACTGGAGGGAGTCAAGCTCCTCTAGTTCTTTCGCGATCACCTCACGAGCTGCGGCTTCTGCCGCCTCTTTAGCTGCTGCCTCCTCGGCTTCTCTCGCTGCTGCTGCTGCCTCCTCAGCGTCAGCATCATCCCCCCCCCTGCCCTCTTCCCCATTATCGATATCCTCGTCCTCCTCATCCTCCTCGTCACCTTCTTCTTCTTCTTCTTCTTCTTCTTCTTCTTCTTCTTCTTCTTCTTCTTCTTCTTCTTCTTCCTCCTCTTCTTCCTCCTCCTCTTCTTCCTCCTCCTCAGCATCATCAACTCCAAGATTTTCGTCGACGGCTGCTGCTTCTTTAGCAGCGCGTTCTTCGGCGCGTTTCGCTGCATTATCTTCCAAGACTCGAAGCCGTTCGGTGTCTTTTCTGCCTAGTCTGCCCTTTCTTGACTTCTTAGCTTGAAGGGCCTCGAGCTCATCCTCCTCTTCAGCGATAGCTACCTCCTCTGCTTCCCGAGCTGCTGCCTCCTCTGCTTCTTGAATTGCCAACTCTTCTTCGTCAGCTTTATCTTCATCATCTGCCTCAGGCTCCTCCTCCTCCTCCTCCCTTTCACCATCTTCCTCCTCGGGTGGATTGGCTGTAGTAGCCTCAGCGGCAGCATGTTCTTCTGCGCGCCTTGCTGCATTCTCCTCCAAGATGGCAAAGCGTTCGGTGTCTTTTCTGCCCAATCTGCCCTTTCTTGCTTTCTTGGCTTTAAGGGCCTCGAGCTCGTCTTCCTCTTCCCTCGCAATAGCTGCCTCTTCAGCTTCTCGAGCTGCAGCTTCTTCGTCTTGTCCTTCAGAAGGCTCCTGCTCCTGCTCCTGCTCCTGCTCCTGCTCCTGCTCCTCTCCTCCTTCTTCACCGTGCTCTCCTCCAGTCTCTTCCACACCTTCAATATCGGGCTCCTCCTGAACGGCTTCAGTCTCGGCCTCAACAGCAGCTCGCTCCTGTTCACGGCGGGTAGCATTTTCCGACAAGACGATAAATCTCTCGGTATCCTTCCGACCAAGTTTCCCCTTCTTTGCCTTCTTTTTCATTAAAGCTGCCAGTTCTGCCTCTTCCTCAGCGATTACCGCTTGTTCAGCCTCCTTCAGGCCATCATCTTCAGGCTCGGGTTCAGCAGCTTCAGGCTCTGGTTCGGGTTCGTGTTCGGGTTCACCAAGCTCTGCTTCGACCTCTGCAGCTGCGTCTTCTGTATCTCTGGTTGCCGCCTCCTCAGCGCGTTTAGCAGAATTCTCTGTCAAGGCTTGAAATCTTTCAGTATCTTTGCGGCCTAATTTTCCTTTCTTAAGCCTCTTTTTCGTCAACGCAGCCAACTCGGCCTCTTCTTCTGCGATGACGGCAGCTTGTGCCGCTGCCTCAGCTGACATAGCTTCAGCTGTAGCCGTTTCATCTTCCTCAGGCTCAGGCTCAGCAAGTTCCTCGGCTTCAGGTTCTAGCTCCTCAGCCAACTCATCTTCCTCGCCGTCTTCAGCATCAACAAATTCATCGTCTTCCTCCTCCTCAGCTCGGGGTACGTCTCCTAAATTCTCTTCTGCTTCCTTGGCTGCCTGAGCTTCGGCACGCTTTGCAGCATTGTCGACAAGAATGTTAAACCGCTCAGTATCAGAGCGGCCCAGTTTACCCTTCTTTGCTTTCTTCTTGTTTAGCGCTGCAAGTTCTGCCTCTTCCTCTGCAGCAATAGCTCTAGCTTCGGCTTCGGCTTCGGCTTCGGCTGCCTCTTGGGCAGCTACTTCTTCTGCATCAGGGTTCTCCTCGGGCTCCGCTTCAGGAATATCATCAACCTCTTCAGGTATCAATTCTTCAGCCTGACCATCAGGTTCGGCTTCCTTAATGGCTCGTTCTTCCGCGCGTATAGCTGCATTATGCATTAACAAATCAAAGCGTTCTGTATCCTTTCTGCCAAGTTTGCCCTTTCGCGCCTTTTTAAGAGTAAGGGTAGCAAGCTCCTCCTCTTCTTCAGCAGCAATAGTAGCAGCTATAGCAGCAGCTTCAGCTTCGATAGCGGCAGCTTCAGCATCTTCCTGACCAGTAATATCTTCTTCTTCAGCAACATCTTCTGGGGTAGTCTGGGCCAGAGCTTGAGCAGCGGCGGCGGCGTCCTTTGCTGCCTGCTCTTCAGCGCGCCTTGAAATATTTTCGGTTAAAAATGTGAACCTCTGGGTATCCT